TGAAGGAAGAGACTTTGGTGGTAGATGCCTGCCACGCTCGAGCTACAAGAGCAAAAGTGCTGCGAACATGGCGTGTCAAGCGACTAGGTCGCGTTCTTTCAGGGCGTCTGGTTGCGAAAGGCGCATAGGGGCGCAATATGATATGACGCAGAGCTGGGGTACGATACAAGAATATAAGGAGGTATAGTAAGAGCAGATGTGTATATAGAACGCGAAGGGAGTATCGACGCAATCGTCTAGTAGAGTACTTTAGGCGATGTACAGTACGTTGACGGTGGCACGCTCGCGGCCAGCGGTAGTAGGGAAGATGCAGATATGTGAGAAGTAGTGTAGTTATTGATTGCGCAGACATTAGGAAAGTGCTAAGCATTAGCAAGACTACATAGCATGCAAGGATATAGGGGCATGGCGTAAGAGCCGGAAAAACGGCAAGTGGTCCATAGACGTTGCATAGAAGGAGTGGCAAGCATAATGTGTGTTTAGGCTGCAGCGGATATGTATAACAAGAGGGAGCTGAGCTACGAAGTTTGAAAAAAGGATCGAGAGATTTCAGTGAGCCGCCTCTGTGAGCGACATCCAGAATTGTGGAGATTTGAAGAGGTTGCAAAGTACGCAAGTTATCAATGGAAACAAAATGCAGGGACGGGTGGGCGGCTACGGTGGAATCTGCAGGGTGGGGAATGACGGATGAGCTGAAAGTACGAAAAGCAAGTTGGAAGCCGAGGGACAATGAATACGTGGGGAAGTTGCAAGACTGATGATAGTATAGGTGGGGAAGAGCAGTAGAGAGCAGTTCGAAGGAAGGGAAAGGAGAAGAATCAGAGCATGCAACGGACGTACGTACCAATGAAAAGTGAGGTCCACCGCCAGCCAGGCAAAACCAACGAGCGAAGTGTGATCTATAAAGTCCTAGCATCCAGCGACTGGATGGGGTAGCGGCTACAGCAGAACCTGCAAAGCGCAAAAATGATGCCATCATTGCTGGTCGCCATGCATCCGCAGATCTAGCGCATGCACCTTCAGCTTTCAGGCTTCGCTCTAGAGGCGACCGGTGGCGTTTTGGCAGTATATCCGGAAAGCATAGGTGCTAAATAAAGGGATATTACGGAGCGAATACTTTCAGCAATTTTTGATTCACCGGGCTTGCTTACGGTAGTTTCTGGCTGCAGACGGTCGGTGAGGAAGCATCCGGCCTCATTTCCAACACTCTCTGAGTTCATATGAGAAGGCAAGAAACCAATACGTGCGTGAAAATCCGCGATGATCCCCGCTGCGTAACTCTGAGCGCGCGCACGCCCGCTTCTTCATAGCTTCTTGAGTCTTCAGAAAAGTCACGTGAACACTTGCTGAGGGATCCCTCCAAGTCTGCGCTGATATGACGGCAGTGTTCGACACGAGCCGTCACACCAAGCCGACGGAATTGTCCCTCGGCCGAATGAACCGAGGGGCGTCGGCCGAAAAGCCGACAGAACCGGGGTCTTTCTGGGTCTTTCTGAGTTGTTTGAGTGAGAGAAGCCGACCGGTTCAAGTCCCCAGCCGACTGACCGGAGAACAGTCGGCCCGGGAGCGGACGAAATCAAAACTCCGTGTCGATCGAACGCTGGACGGCACACCTTCCGCACGAGTCAGCACTGAAGGCCATGCATATGGCGCTCGATCAAGTTGACGCTGAAATTTGAATGTGCAAGATTGCCGCGTGACTGACGCCGCCGACAAGGAAATGACAGTGACGCCGCCCGACGGACAAGGAGATGATCCGCATTCCAGTTTCTTGAACAAGTGCTGACATCATGAGACAACGCAATCTGCTGCACGGCTCAAGGCCGGTGGCATGACGAGCAGGACGCCTCTAGTCTGCATAAATGATAAACAGCGGATGGCTTTGCTGGCTGGGACTGCTTTTGGTCGCAGGAGCTGTTGTGCTATCGAAGTTCTACAACTGAGAAATGCAATGTATCTGCAGACCTTACTTGCTTGAACCCACTGGCAATTATCCGTTGAGGTTGAGTGAAACTTATCCTGCCAAACACCGAGCTTACTCATCACGGAACCGCTGAGAATCAACACATAGTAGTTTTGGCTATTTGCGTAAGAAAGCCCGCGGGCAAAGCTGTGATTCTCAAGTAAGCGCCAGGTTCAAGAAGTGCGATTGCGCAGCATTCCTTTGAGCCAAGAAAGGCACCAAGAAGCGCTGCTCAGCCGTTGACGGATAGTGGTAAGGAGACAATCTCTACACTCTTGTTATGAATCAGCGCATGACATCTTTATACCTTTCAGCTCAACGAGAACCAGATTGAAGATTGAGAATTGGCTGTTGGCAACCTGAAACAGACCTTTGATGTTCTTGCAACCTTCTGTTCATGATTTCTGATTGATCGCTGCAATGTCCATTTCCAACTTCAGATTGGGGCCTCTTTGTCCTTGAAAGTGGTCCTCAGGCCTGAGCTGAATCCAAGTTTCTGCAAGCAGAACACTGCACATATTGAAGTGGAATGTCTGAGCAATGTTATGTACTCATCGTTCTTGTCGCCACTTTGCCGAATTTTCAAGCCATTGTGGGCCATGCCCTGAGTGGCTTTTCAATCGAGCAGACTGTTATGATCCGACCAGTGCCGTAAAGTAAACACCTTTTGGGAACTAGATCAGGGCAGTTGTCCACTTGACGCAATGTGCCGAGAATCTTTCATCAAGAAACATGTGTGAATGACTTCTAATAAAGAATCTGGTTTTAGCTCAGTGAACAAGAGATACACCCGTGGCGATCGGCATTCCTAAGGAGTCTTTTCAATGTATCTGTTTTGGGGGCTATTCTTGTACTTTGCAAGCCCATCAGCGCGATTGTGTATCTAAGACAACAGAACCCACGCAATATTGCCTGGAGTTTCTTGCCCGGCTGCTTTCGCATGATTCAGGCGTCCTTTCATTCTTTTTACAGAATGTGGCACTGATGGGTATCCCGATAAAGAATCTAGTTTAGGCACAGTGAAAAAGAGATACACCCACAGCGACTCGGCATTCCAGGGTGTTTCAAGCCTTGTCAAAGTATCTGTCTCCGGGGCTCTACTTGCAATCTTGGAAGCCCATCAGTGCAACCGCATATCAGAAACAACAAAACCCATGCAATATTGCTTAACATTTCTTGCCCGGCTGGTTTTGTTTGGTCCAGGCGTCTTTTCTTTCAAACAAAATGTGGCACTGATGTGAAGACTCCACAATCTCTGATAAAAATCAGAGGCTGCCAGGGCATGTTGAGGTGTTTCCCTAGTTCCAAGCTTTAGAGGTCTGTCTCCTTCCTTTCTGTCAAATCTGACGGCAAGCCTTCACCTGTTGCCTTCATACATACTTCAAAGACAGAAGAGGGGAGTGGGTAAGCGAAAGATGTCATCAGATGTTTCGGAGGATTAGACCGAGTGTACTACGATAGACTCTTTTTTGCCCCCTCAAATGCAAGGATACTCATCAAAAGCAGGATCATACATTGGCGGCACAAGAGCATCGTTTTGGTCAGTCGTCTCAGGCCCCAGTTTTTAAAGCAACTTAGCGACTCACAACCAAGTACTGAGCCCAGAAATGGGGCCCTGCTTTTAGGATCCTTTGCTGATCTCGGATACACGTATCAAGCAATACAATTTCAGCAGCCTCAAGCTACCACGATTCTTTACTTGATGAAGAAACCCTTCCTCAAAAAAAACTTATTACCTGCTGCAGCGGGGATCCATGATTTTGCCCATTCTCCCCTGCAGGATTTGGAACTTGACACCGCATCTTCGTGCCAGTCTGCGCTGCAGAGATCCCCAATGGATGTGGTGATCATCGGGGCGGGCCCCTCAGGCCTTCTCCTGGCGCATTATCTGCTGGAGAAGGGGGCCGGGCGTTTCAGGATTTCTCTAAACGATGCTAGAGAAGATCCCCGCATCACTATCAAGAGGCCTCCCACTGCCCGAAGGTGGGTTTGCGTGCGACTTGCTCTCATCTGGGCTGACTGTGAGTCGGGTTTTGAAAAGCGTCTGATCACTTCAAGAAGTTGGGGGATCGGGCCATTAATTACATGTTGGACACACGTATAATTGGCAAATAATACAGATGAATGTTGCAGGGTTCAGGAAAGGCCGGCGCCTTCTTTGTGCAGAAAAGTATACTTGGTTCTTTGTGCCTCGTTGTGCTGCTAAACCTTGCGTTGCTCCAACTGGCTGGGAACTTTGCATTTACGGAGTTGCTTTGTGAAACGGCCAGCAATCAGTGCTTTCATCATCTTCTTCTTGACCTCAAGCTTTGGGCACGTTGTAAATCTGGGGTTCAGAGGCTTAAAAGCAACGGGGAGCCTTTCTTTCGCATTCTTGCTACCAGTGTTCCAATTCGGTTGCAAGACAACATCTTCACGAGAGTTTCGGGACGAAAGACCAACTCCGGTGCATATCGCCTTGTCGGATTTGCTTTTAATGCATTTAGCGGCGGCTAGGAAGATCTTTACGCGTCTCAAAAGGTGACCTAGCAGCAAGGATCGGGACAGGGAACGTAAGCGGTCAGTTCGACTGAGAAGGGTTTGAAGGCACCCCCTTCTTCCTTCTTCCAGCAAGGCTGCCGGCAGATATAAGAGACGGCTAATGGTAAGAGGGCTCCGATTGAGCAGTGGCAACAGGCAAACATGAGAAGCAGTTTTGCGCGGACATTCCAAAGAAAGTGCCAAAGCAAATAAATGAGCCATTTTTTTGTGCAGATACTCCATTGGAATCTCGATGCGAGGCCGCATGGCATTGAAGGGCGTCGATGGGCTCTGGGAAGCTATCAAGGTGTGTCCTCCGCTTCTCTCTGGAAAATTTCTTGCAGACTCCGGAGGCGATCCGCATTTCCTAGTTTTCCTGTCTTCCTGTATGTTCCTTCACGCTTTGGGTATACTTTCGTCTCGGACCTCATCTGCCCCTTCTTACTCAAGTGTTTCTGGTTTGAAGCACCCGTTGAATGAGCCAAAAATCTCCTGAACATACTTCCACAGCCAACGGCCTCATTTTCAAGAGCTCCGGACAACCCCTTAAACGATCGACAGGAGCTAAGATCGCCTCTGATCCAGGCACGAGTTGTGAACATTGGCCCACTCAGTGCTCTTTCTGGTCGCACTATCTGGAAAGACCTTTCTTGGGAAAGCCGTGCGGTGGAACTCGCCCATATGAACATTTTCGTGACAGGTTGCATGATCGTAACGCCTCCTTCAGGCCTCTCAAACGAAGGTTTTTATATCAAAACTGATCCAACTATCGAACACATCTAAAAAGTTGATCATCATGGTTACTCAGAAGAGTTCACGATACATTTACAGGCTCGTGGCGTTCAGATCGACCACATGAAGATCTACGTGCTGGCCTCCTTGGCGCCTCTCAAACGAGCGTTCTCATACCAAACCTGATTCGGCAATCGAACACGGTTACAAAGCCGACTATGATGTTTATTCAGAAGATTCCATCATTCATTTGCAGGCTCGTGGCTTGGAGATCGACCACATGAACATCTTCGTAACTGGTCGCATCAGCGACTTGTTCCTTGAGCCTTTTCATTAGTAAGCCTTATCTCTATTAGCACGGCCGTCAAACCCACATACTAAAGCTTCAGATTCGCAAAAAGCAGAGGAACATAACGAACTTCTTACAGGCTCGTGGCGTGGAAATCGACCATATGAATATCTTCGTAATGGGTCGCATGATCGAGCGGCCCCCCGCCAACAAGGGCGGCCAGCCGGTGATGACGGACCGCACCTCGCTGTGCGCGGCCATGCTAGAGCTTCTCGTGCAAAGGTGCATTCTTTTGCCTGTGACTGGGAATCTTTAGACTTCCCAATCTGGAAGATTTGGAAGTGCTCTCCGGGAGCACCGTCTTAGCAGCTCTTGTTCTGTTTTCAGGCCATGCTAGTCTTCTTCTTTTCAGGCGATTTCAGGCTACGAATCAACAAAAGTCTTGGGATTTCCTCTATCTTGCCGCATGTGAGATAGTACGGTGCTCTGAACCGTTTAGACGCTTCCAATGCGCGGCCGCGCTAAAGCTTTCCTGTCGTCACCCGCTTCAGCACCTCCCTTTTCAACTTCCTGTTTGTTTGTGATGGTGACCAAGTAAGTGAGTCTCACCACCCTTCAAGACTGGAGCCTTTTGTCAGAGTCCATGACTGCGCTTCTGGGGGATGGGTCTTCCTGCTCTCGCTGCACCGTTTGGATGAGAAGGAGGCACACACCGGTTGCAATATGCGTCCAACATTAAAAAGGAGGAAAGACCGCAACAAAGAGAGAACCCAACAACTTCAGCAAACCTGTTTTCTTGTTATAGGCACCGCAAGTCCGTCCTCCTTTACCTCGACTTCCTCCATAAGTGCACCGGCGTTGACTTTGATGAGCTCACCGTCGCCTTCTCGAACACTAGGATGCCCCGGCCGCAAACGGGCTCCGTTTCTCCAGCGATAACCAGCCAACTACTAGAAGCTGAACTTTTCATTTGTCTCTTGTACAGGCACGGCAAATCCGGTCTCCTGTCTCTACACTTCCTCCATAAGTGTACCGGCGTTGACCTTGATAAGCGCATCGTCACCTTTTCGGACGTCCAAGAACACGAGGATATCCACAATGGGGGGCTCAAAATGCCCGGTAATAAGGCCCCCGAGAAGCCGTCCCAGTCTGTGGCTACTTACGACTTGCTGGTCGGGGCGGACGGCGTGCGGTCGGTAGTGCGAGCGGCGTTCATGCAGCATCTGAGGAGGTGGGTCAAGGGACTCCTTATTACTTCTTTCAGGAAAATGTGGGACGGAAAAGCTTGCCAGGGTTGGTGACGACTTGCCTTTCAGTTTTGCTAGTCTAATTAGAAAGCAAAGACTCGGATATGCTCACGTCTTCAACTGTCAGATGACAAGGCTGGTCGATATCAGTTGACTGTGCGTTGCCGGGATGACTCGCTGCCGACATACGGTCAATGCGCCCGACCCTAAGTATTTAACCTGACGTCTTTATAAGCTCGAACGCTGCGCCTAATGACCGAGACCTTAAGTCTAAGCAATCTGCGCTCTTCCCCGACCTTGGCTTGTGACTACAAAGCTGGGCAATCTTGGCTCCGTAGTGACAACCCGCCAGCATTTCTCGACGCCCGCGGCCCCGTTGGGAAGCTCGAATGTTAACAGCCTGGAGCCCTGAAGCCAAACCCTGAGATTGTGGATAGCTTGAGATAGTCCTTTGCGCAGTTTCGACTACTGAGCAGCGCGCTCTTGGCTCCATTTCGATTGCCTTGTCGATGCCTACGAGTCCCTCAGAACCTTGGAACCATCAAAAGGCTGGAGTCACGAACTTTGATGACCAGAAGCGTGTTCTCTCAAACAACCTCCTAGGGCTTTTTCTGTCGATATCGTCGACGGTTGCGCGGTCTTATCTTTATTGTCCTCGCCATCTGATACGCACAGATGCATATAATTCTAAGAATTCCGAACCTCTGCAACGTTTGATCCAAAGCCGTGAAGTCCTCGCACTTCGATTATGAGCCGCGCGGTCTTGGCACCGAGGTCATCTACCCCAGATTCTACCGATTCCACCCGTGCTTGCAATCCCTTCGCATCCCGAGAATTTTGACTCCATGCATTCCAAAATCAGTGGGTTCAAACCCTCAACAATCCAAGCCTGTTTCTGAACAGTACTATCCCCATGCAGTTTCGACTACGAGCAGCGCGATCTTGGCTCCGAGTTGATCATCGCCAACATTCCGCCCATGCCGGCCGTTCCGCGGGACGTGGTCGTCATGATCGGCGGAAAGAAGGGCGGCCTCGGCGGACTCATGCTCCCCAGCGCGCTCTCGTAAGTCGTCTTCTCGCAGAAGTGTGGAAAAGATGTGCTTTTTTTAGTCAAGCGGTCTGAGAGAGTTTTGGTTTTGAAGTAAATGCATCTTCTGAAGAGAGCAGTCTGCAACGAGGCAGGTCGGCTCCTCTGCAAGATTTCTGTGAGGTTAAGAGATGGGAATTGGGTGCACAGCTAACCAGACAATTAACCCGGGTCCCAAAATGGAAGTTTCCGTGCTCCCCTGCTAGAGAGGAAGGCCGGAAGTCGTACCTCCCTCAAAGGCGGGCGGGTCTCCGACGGTCCGGTTAGCGGTGACCATCCTCGAAACCCAGGCTTGGCAATCTCTACAGCAGTCCTTTCGTCTCTGGTTTTGAAGCGCCGTCAGGAAATTCAAGGGCGGCTTCGGCGAACCCACGTCTTCGAGCGCCCGCGCGCCGTTCTTCTTTCAGATCTGACTCCTCGCTTTCTCAAGGCTTGCGTAGATTTACTCTCCAAGTTTTGAGTCTGCGCCTGAGTTCCTTGCTTCTTACAATATTCTTATTCAGTCCGCTTCGAATGGGATTTTGGGGCGGTTTCTGCACCGGAGGTATAACGTCGTGGGTTCGCGAAGCCATCCCTGAGATTCAGGTTTCCATAACCAACAAGGACACAATCGCTTGAAACCCCTAGATCTGAGAATGCTACAAAGCAATTTATGCGACGCAGGCCCTGACATGTCACTCCTTCCCTCATTTCGGAATCTCATTGCAGCTTCATTCGACAGTGGCGGCTGGACCCTTCATCCTCTACCACCAATAATGTGTTCCTTCTCGAAATTTTGGTTTCTTAACGTGCTTTGAAACAAACTCGATTCTTTTCAAAATAAACGAAAGTTTTTTGATCCCTTAAGAGACCGTCTTGGAATGCTTCGGACCCTGAAAGTCAGAAACTCTCAAAACGCCCAAAGGCAAGCCCGACGGCAAGACCTCGATCCGCATGATCTCAAGTCGCAGGACGTCGCTTGACCCGCAACTCTTTTCGCCTTCAGAAATGCGCAGTCGCTCGTTTCCAAAACCCTAAACTCTAAATCCTCAACGCTAAGATCTTAAAACCCAAAAACCCCCCCAAATGCAGGCCCCACGGCAAGACGTCGGCGGACGGCGCGTGGCCGGCAGAGTGGTTCGCCCAGAAAGCGTACACTTTTCTGACCCCAAGCTGTCAAACCCTATCTTATTAAATTTCAAGGTCCAAATGCAGCCCCGGCGGCGAGACGTCGATGTGCCTGATCCTCTAGTGCCATGAGGGCGGGCAGCCGGCAGAGAGATTCAGTCAAAAAGCGTGCAATCGGCTGACCCGAAATTTCCAAACCCAGAGTTCCTAAGAATCTCGAAGCTCGAAATGCAGGCCCGACGGCGATGTGCCTGATCCTCAAGTGGTCGGACGGTGCGAGGCCAGCGGAATCATTCGCCGAAAAGCGTGCAACTTCTTAACCCGGAATCCAGATAATGCAAAACCCGAACATTTCAAAACCTCAAAACCCTGAACGCAGGCCCGACGGCGAGACGTCGATGTGCCTGATCCTCATGTGGGCGGACGGCGCTCGACCCGCATGTCAACCAGAGAATGCCCAAAAACCTTGACCCTAAAGACCCTGAACCCTAATTCTAAATCCAAAAACTTCGAATGCAGGCCCGATGGCGAGACGTCGATGTGCCTAATCCTCAAGTGGGCGGACGGTGCGAGGCCGGCAGAGTGGTTCGCCCAAAAGAGCGCCGCGGATGCCAAGCGCTTTCTCGAACGGACATTTCCCTGGCTCCAGATCCCCGAGGAGGCGGCCGGAAGCCTGCTCACACAACGGCCGTCGAAGAGCATGCAGGTGGGTTCGCGATTAACGAGCTCCGATTTCGATGCTTTTGTAGTTTAGTTCCTGTTTCTTTTCTTCACAGAATGCTCGGCCAAGTCAAGCGCTTTCAGGAGAGAACCTTTCCCTGGCTTTCAGATCCCCAGGGAGGCGCACGGAGAATGGAGAGCGGCCGTCGAAGTGCATGCAGGTGGGTTTTCTATCAGTGAGCTTCGATATCGACGTTTTTAGTTTAGTCAAGTGGTTTAGAAGAGAACCTTCCCCTGGCTTTCAGACCCCCAGGGAGGCGGCCGGAAGCCTCCTTACACAACGGTCGTCGAAAAGCATGCTGGTGGGTTTGCTAATCAAAGAGCTTCGATTTCGATGCTCTTCATCCAAAAATCCTGTTTGTTCTCTTGAAAGAACGCCCGGCCGAGTCAGGGCGCGCTTTTAGAAGAGAACCTTCCCCTGGTTTTCAAGTTCCCCGGGGAGGTGGCCGGTAGCCTCCTCAGGCAACGGCCGTCGAAGAGCATGCCGTTCAGATTGCGGTCATTGATGTTCGATGTCTTAGATTTCCACTTACGCATGTCTTCTAGACAAAGCCGGACAAAGCCGACCAACGTGAAGAGCTTGGTGGCCAGCCAATCCTCTGCAATAAGACCAAATCTCACCGCAGTCTACGGACTCTCGTTTTGCAGATCAGTGCAGTCAGCAGCGCAACCCGGACGTAGGCGTAACTCGAAGGCTGGGGTTGACACTCTAGGAATCATAAGGTCTCTGGAATCTCTAAGCTCCGTGAAAATTGTAGAAGCCCAGTCTAACGTAAACAAACCACCGCAACGATTTTCGGACGCTCGTTTGCAGAGCAAGTGCAGTCAGTAGCACGACTCGGACGGCGCCGCTCTGATCACGAGCTACCCTTTGGAAACGTCATCAGCTCAGCAAAGATGCTGGGCAGTCGAATCAACAAAAATAGGTCACCGCGATGACATTTGGACGCTTATCGCGTGATTCGGACACTTAACGCAATCTTCGGACTCTCGTCTGCAGATCAAGTGCAGTCAGTACCACGACTCGGACGGCGCGGCTGTGATCATGGGCGACGCCGCTCACGCTTCGGGCCCGAGTATCGGGCAAGGTGTAAATACGGCGTTTGGCGATGCCGCGGCTCTAGCGTCGCTGCTTCTAAAGATGGTGAGCCTCTCTTAAGCTGTCACTTTTTGCCAGTATTCATCTCTCCACCCATCCCCTGCTCTTGTTTCTTTTGCTTCTGCTTGTTTTTGCTTCATTCGATTATCATGCTGGAATATCAACGCTTCGGGTCCGGGTATCGGGCAGGGAGTGAACGCGGCTTTGGGCGATGCCGCTGCTCTAGCGTCGCTGCTTCTAAAGATGGTGAGCGGCTCTGAGGGCTGCCAGTTTCTGCATTCCCTTTCCTCTTATCCCTGTCTTATAGTCCCTCTTGCATCTCCGTGTCCCCATCTCACTTCGTCTGCGCCACTGCCCCTAGAGTCGGTAAGCAGCTCACACAAGCTCTGAGGCTGTCACTCTCTTTCTATCTTCCTCTGCATTCTGTTCCCGCTCCTCTAGAGTAACTTCTTTCTTTGCTCTCTCGTTGCTTCGTGATCTGGTTTCACATTGAGTTTTAGCTGAGAGCGTTGACGTTTTCTCCTCTACGGACCCTGCTGCCTTCAACACAGAGTTTTCGATGCTTACTAGCAGACACTAGAACACGCAAAAGCAGTCTCACTTGTTCGAAACGTAGTCTTCTGGCTTCCTTTCTGTAGGGCTCTGCGCTCGACGATGTCACCGCACAACTCACTCAATGCATGGCCAAATGTGGCTGTCAGACAAGACCTTTCAAGACCTGCGTAGCTGTCCATGCAGTCTCGCCATCCTCCCAAGCCCAGTCAGGATTTAGGGTTTCAAATCGCAAAACCATGAAATCCGACAAAAGTGGTCATGTCTCAAGATGCCGACGTTGAAAGGATTCCATCGCCCCCAACGTCTGTGTAAACCTCGCTCTGACCAAAACTGCGTGTGCATATCAAATTGTGGCGACACGCAGTCGCATTTCAAGGACGCGGTGCCACGTTTGCGGACGCTCTCGTCATGGAAGGTTTTGCTGAGGGCGGTTTGCCGGTTAACAGCCTCGCCGCTGCAAAGATCGCTTTGGCCATCGGTTCATCCTTCTTACCTCCTCTCGTCCTGGATTGAAAAAGCTGGGTTGCGGCCAGGTGCCCCTCTCGTGTTTTATGAATTCTAGCGAGATGCCAATTGGTTTTCCCCTGTCGTTCCACTTGGACTAAGTACCCAAGCCACGTACTTACCCCAGCGTCTCGTTTTCTCGAGGACATTTTAGGGGTTGTCCGCTTCTTTGCGCTGCACGTGCTGAAGGGGTGTGTTCTCCGCTGGGAGATCATGACGTGAGCATGATGTCGTGAGTCGTACTTACCGCCATAACCACATTCAGGGGGATCCCTTCGAGCTGCCACGGTCCTGGAGCGCATCTCCGCGTTGTGCGCACTGGATGTTAGTCATCGCTTATGGAAAGGCGACCTCAGCTTGATGTTCTAGTAATTGATGACGTCACAATCATGTGCAGGGGGATCCCTCGGAGCTGCCCGCGGTCCTGGAGCGCTTCTCCGCGCTGCGAGTGTTGGAAGGTCACGCGCTCGTCGACCTGTCCGAGAGCCAGAACCCCGCGAGCAGCGCCACGGGCACCCTTAACAGCGTCCGAGTTATCATCCAGGTTAGCGGTAACCCGTTTCCTTCACTTGGTTCATTAGTTCAATCCTGCAATGGTTCAAGGTGCGCGAGGAACCCCGCCAGCAGCGGGCACCTTGGACAGCATCCGGGTAGCATCCAGGTCAGTGGTAACCCGTCTTTTTCTCCCGCTCAAGCCTTCGTTCGTTCATTGAAAGGGACCATATGACCTGCGCATCATACCGTCTTCGTCTACGCAGGCCTCATTCTTCCAATCTACTGGCAGCGCCAAATTCGTGAGCAGGCCTCATATTTCGCATTTCCGTGCAGCGCCCAATTCGTAAACGAAAGCCTACATCTGTAAGTCTTTACCGGGCCTTCTATGCGGGCCTTGTATCCTCATGACTGACTGGACCCAAATCGTGGACGAGAGCTGACAATTGCGACCTTCATTACAGGGTCTTCTCCGTCGATTCTTTCCCAAGTGGTTCGCGGGCCCTATTATTGCGATGGCCGCCGGGCTCAAGCCGCTGACGGAGATCTACGCAATCCATAAGGTATTATAGTTGGCATAGGCTATATTTTATTCCTCTTTTTTCGCAAGAACGACCGGTTGTGTTTTGGTGACTTTGTTTCACGATCGGATTTGAGCAATTGCGTCAAATCTGTCTCGATTGTTTTTGTCGGCGCGGCACTAAGCAAAGCGGGAGGCCCTTAGGACGACGAAAGTTCAGAGTCGACAGAGGCAAAGCCAGTCCTCATTGCAACCGTTCAGCCAAGTTCGACGCAGGAGACTAAGACTGTCTTACCAAGTCTGGGCAGTTGACTCTTCTTCTGGCAATGTGCGCGGAAGGACGCTCTAGCATGAGGTTGGGGGCTCTGGCAGGTTCCATTAAGCACACCTTACCTTAAGCGCCCTTTCAAAATGAAAATCAATCAAATCAGAATAGTAGAGACGAGACAGAGCGAAGGAGATAAATAGATAAGAACAGGGAAAGGAGAAGGATTGGACAGGCCTTCTGCTCTGCAGGCTGCCGTGGATTCCGTTCTCGAAGGGAACCGGAAGCACCGGACGGCTCTCCTGGAGCGGAGACACCGGGAGAAGCTCCAGGGGCTTGAAGCGTTGTTGCCCAACGGCACTGCGTCGGGACACGTGGCAGCAGATCCGGGTCTCAAGAAGACGGCGTGACGATGTTGCGTTGTCGGGTCCCAGGAATTGGCTTGCGTGCTATGCGTTGCAGTGCGTAGACTTTACGCTCACTGGATATGCCTGCTGATCGCTACACTTCCGTACATAGATAAAGATATCCTGCGTCCTACTCCTCCGTTTTGTAAGTTTAGAACTTTGAATAGGATCACCGTCGTCTGTACAGATCCCTTGCAAATCCTGCTTTTGCTCGCGAGCGGCCTTGAGCTCTAGCACTGGTCCTGAACATCAAAAACAAAGCTGCGTGTCGATAGTCTTTGCGTAAGTAAGACATTACCAATCTACCTAACTCGCTCGCGTGATGTCTGCAAAATGGAGTCCAGCTACACCGCAAGATCGGTACGTGTCATGCAGAACGATGGCTACAGTAGGTTTGGACGTTTACTCTGAAATGCCATAGGGCGGGGGTGACGGTGTAAAGAGCTTCCGACGCGGCGACAGCTACAAATGAATCCCGGCGGCCCACGTACGAGATCTCTTTCCGTTTCAAAAGGAACTTGCAACTTTTGACGGCTGCAATGCATCGAGCTCCTTGCATGATTCATCAAGAGTAGATTGCGGCCGCCGCGCGCGGCCGGCTGATCATCGTTAAGTTCGATCCGACCGTCACGTTGGCGGCCGCCCTGAACTGGCGGCCGCGTCGCGGCTCGATCATGGGCAGCACAGGATATGTTCAAGTTACGTACGGTACGGACTCGATTTGTGTGCATGTCATTTGGGATCCGGTAATTGCAAACATTTTTTAGTCTCTGCACCTTATTTGCGGGACATGCAGCTGGATCGAACTCACTTATAGCGGCTCTTGTACGGTATGTATATCATGCAGTCAAAGGAGCGTTGATTTGATCCGATCCGTGATTCTGGCAGGCCGGGCCTCCAATTTAGACTCTGGATCATGGTATTGCCGCGCGCCAGCGTTCATGGGCTCGAAGCACATGATGGGCTGACTCAATCGAACCTAAGCGTATATAGCAGAATTGAGTTGCATGTAAAGCTTCCTCGATCCGGTGCAATCATTTCTGAGGGTTTCAACTGCATGATGAGTTCCCCGAGGACGTAAACACGTTATCCGACAGAACTGAGTCTTCAGCGTGCCTTGCCAGCCGTCTTCGTATGAAAGTGCTCAGGCCACATCTGTTCAAAGTCACGTACGGTGAGCGACTGAGTCTCTTCTCATGAAAGATCAGAGTACCAGACGCAAGCCCTCTAGGTCAACAGCCTCTGTGACTAGCTCGGCCAACCGAAGCTGAAGGGCCCTCAGAAAAGGCTCCGTCAGATATCTCTCCGTCGTTAAGTGGCCACGTCATCCGTCAAGCTGCCGCCACGTTGATAAGCTCCAAATTCGGCCTGGCCCCGTGCGCCTCAGAATCTGATCGCCCCTCTCTAGTTTTTTCTACGGACGCGAGCTTGGCCTTTACGTATGGTATGTAAAATTCGCCTAGCCGGTCGCGGACGTCCGGCAGCAGGTAGTCGCTCCAGCGGATGATCCCCCGGCAGCGAGCGGAGCCGCAGCAACATTTCAAGGGGGGCTGCAGGGGCGAACTAGAGCGGTGTGAATGAGGGTAACAAAGCGGACTGTCTTCTTAAAATTTCAAACCTGAGTTACAGCACGAGCGGTCGAATAGCGTACCAGGTAGCTGTCGCTCCAGAGGATGATCCCCCGGCAGCGAGCGGAGCCGCATCAACACTCAATCACAGACAAGAACTCTCATTTATCATTACACAAGGGTGCCAGAACGTGTCAGTGTTAAGGCTCTTAGAGGGGGCTGCAGTAGAACTAGAGCCGGGTGGAAACTTAGGGAATCAAGTTCCTCTTAAGCGGAGCACAGGGTAGATTACACTGTTTTGCTAGAGACTCGGGCGACTTGTGCGGTTTGGGAAAAGGCCTGCCAGACTTGTTTGGCCTAGGAGCCCTTCTCTGTAAACGCCGAAAATTTCCAGGTCCAAGGAAATGTGCATAGTTCCATAAGGAGGACTTATTGGACCCGTACTTAAGCCCGACGTCAGGAGGCGACAGCAAGGCATGCATCTCGGTCACATCGTCGCCTAGAAATGCGGTATTAGCCGCATGCCTCAGCACGTACTAGTACTGCTTGTAGTGGCCGGTTGACGACGTCAAGTAGACGCCGTCTTTAAAGCGCCTACATATTTGATGACGCCATCTTTAGGCGCCTACGAGGTTTGATGACGCCATCTTCAGGCGCCTTTGGGATTTGATGACACCCTCTTCAGTTGCCTACGAAGTCTGATGACGCACATACGAGTCTTTGCTTACGTGGATATCCCACGTCTCGGAAGTGGCGTAGTCGAACGTCAGCTCTTCGCCTGCCTGGATGTCGCGAGTGGCCGCCATTTCGAAAGTTGACACCCAGCCGATGTTCGGATCGCAGTTATGGTTCGTAAAGACGTTCCCGTCCCGCCACACGTCGGCCTCAGTGGGGGGGCCAATGAACTCAGTTTCGCTAACCTGCGAAACGAAGTGAAGTTTGAGCCGTAGAAATTTGATTGTAACCCCAGTGGATCTGAAATGATGACGTGGGCAGGGACTGGCGGGTTCTCTATTGTATGGCCGAATGGAAAGACCGTGACAGATTGCCGTGTTCGGAATTTCTCTATCCTCAAAATTCTGAAGCCGTCGCACTGTGCGGCTGATGTTCAACAAGACTTCTACGCCTCCCTCAAAAGAAGTCGGGGCTTGGGAACAGAGGCTGTCACGAGGACTGGAACACGTTCAAAGGATTCACGGCGATACGCTTCCCTCTCTGAGAAAGGACGCTCGAAATCTTCGTCGAACAAACTGTCCGTTGTCAAGAAGCAGCGATGCTCATTGGCTCAATAAGGTTGAAAAACACTGCGGCGAGTCAACAGAGTCTAAGATTCTGGCGGCCCCTAGACGTACTCAGTTAAATTGCCGTTGCAGGAGGCAACCTTACCTCTCGAAACAAAGCAGGAGGCCAAGAAACTGACTGGAATGGCGACCAGACGAGAATCTCAAATGGAACCGGAGAAGACGATCAAAGACCGAAATGCAGATCGGAAAAGATACGGGAAAGATAAACAACGAACGCAAATGCTTACCTGATAAAAGTAGTGGAACACGTGCTCTTGTTGCTCTCGGCTCATTGCTTGAATGGCTGCCGTAGTAATTGTCACGCTAATCGCGCTTGGACCTTTCCATACAGTTTCTCCTTTTTCGATAGCGCCCCTGGCCACCAGCCCAAAGCCCTCGACGGGGGACTTTCTGCAGATGACAAAGGTACACAATTCGCATCAGCCGCAACTCTCAATTACAGCTTAGTTGAAGTCAGGACAACGTGCAAACTGCAGATCAGAAACTGGAACGGGGGCTCGAGAGGTACGGGCTGATGCTAAGGTTAGGGACGCCGGCGCGGCTTGTGGGCGCTCATTTCTAAATCCATTCGTCTCGGCCCTCAGCGTTCCAAGCATGTTGGCGTGTTTCTGTCAAAGTCAGTTGAGGCTGGCCTCTAACAGGGATGACAGCCAAAGTTCGGCAATAATCTGTCTGTGTCTGTCCCGCTCTTGTGAGCTCTCGGTGGAGCTGAAAGAAACTGTGACGACTTGCTAGGAGCACAGAAATGAAAATGTCTGTTCCCTCATAATTCCTGACCTTTCTGAACCTCTTTCGCAAAGTCTGTCAAAGACAAATCATTGCAGCTAGCAGCCAGCTCGGGTACACGTAAACAAAAGAAATCTGAACCAGTTGCAGTGAATACGGTTCCAGACGTGGGATTGTCCACATGTGTTCGACCCGGGCTTTGCTCTTCACTCAGCAGATTAGCTCTTCCCTGAAGGGTTAGCGCAGTTGAGCACTTAAAAGAGCACTGGACCTTTAACATTTAAAGAGCTCCCAATCTCGTCGATACGGACTCCGTCATTCCCTGATGGTCTGTGGCCTTTCCTTACCGAAGATACACCTTCTCGTTGACTCCTGGCAAGGGAATACTGCTGGCGTTAGGAGGGCTGCTGCCGCATGTCGTAGGATGATTCGCCTGTAGTGTAGAAGTGTCACAAAGTATCCCTGAGCTGCTGCCTTTAGATTGATAGGTGTAGCCTCTAAGCTAGCCAGAAGATAATGCGTAAGTACGTGCAACCTTCAGGGGACGTCTCGAGTTTCTTGACAAGCCTAGGAGGTTTCAGATGTGTGAAACCTTCTAAGAGACTTTGGTATTGGCCGCTTTCAAGCCAGAGTACATTGGTCTCAAGCTGCCAGCTTAGCCATGCGTGGACCTTCAGAGGAGGAGCAGGAAACGTGACCATTGAAAGTGAAGCACCAAACTCTGGACACGTCGCATGTCCGTTTTCAGCAGCCCTTCGTCCGTTGAAAAGTCCTCAGAGCTTGTTTGCACAGGAGATCCCCCTCATTTGCACACAAGCGTGGACCAGTTGAGTAACTCGCTGCGGACTGTGCCAGATATGTGCCGAGAGTCAGCATATGGAGGTCTACCAACGTCCAGTCAACTGAACCCAAAAGATTGTGTCCTGATGCAAAGGAACAATGTTTGTGACTTCCAAGCAAGCTTACTAAAAAAGCAACTCACCTCACACTTCGGCACGGGCGCTTTGCCACCACAGTCAGAAACGGTTTGGAAAAGAACGTCCCCTCCGCTGCTTGCCGCCTGGGGCTCCTCGTTACAGCTGGACGACAGAAGATCTAGCTCACTCGCCGAAGTGTTTGAGCTGGCTCCACAGGAAAACTGTGGAATCCCAGCTACTGGAGAGCTGGCCGCGATCTCTGCATTAGGAGCCATGGTTTATCTTACACCCCTGCCAGCTGCAGCGTTTCTCAAGTGCTGTCAATGTCCAGCGACATCTCTAAAGTGTGATGGGCAGAGCGGCGGTCGTTTGGGGTTGGCAATCAACTGGCGCCCCGGATGATCCCTTGAACGCCGATGCTTAGGAAAGAGAGGGCTGAGCCAGATCAGCGTGTTGTGGAAGATGGTTTTCCAGCCCAAGGCTTTTTACAAGATAATCAAATCCTGGGTGTTTCTCCGCAGGCTTTAAACGTTAAGTAGCAGCGCCACTTCGGCTTTTATCGCAGCTCCGCAGCTTGCAAGATGCGTCAGGCGCGCTGCTTGAATGTTAGACGTTAACAGGCGGCTGCGGCGTGCATTATGCTCTTTCTTTCTTGCTCAGGAGTCAGATGTGCTGAGCTGAAAATGACCTCTACAGACTCCAGAGGCAGGATCGTCAACTGCAATGCCCGGGAAACAGGGAAGACTAAGTCTTGGATGATGACTGAGCTCAGTGATGTTCGGCAACGCCCGCTCTGACAGTCTTGGCATCTGGCAGCTTCTAAAGTTCTGGCCCACATCTAGCTGTCAAAATGGTTGCTTTAACCAGTGTTCGACAAGAGCCGACCCCCAGGCAAACAGCAGCCGACGAAGGTGCCGACCGAACGTTACCGGAGTTACCGAACGGAGGGGCGTCGCCGCGTCGGCCGAAAAGCGGTGGACAAGCTAGGCGAATTCCGGGTGTTTGGCCGGGAAGAGCCGACCGGTTCCGGGCTCAGCTGACCGACCGGAGAAACAGTCGGCTTGGAGTCGACAAAATCGAAGCTCCGTATCGAACGCTTGGTACAAACCCGGCCCTCGAAGTTTGGAGTCCGGACAATTGATTACTGGTAGCGGTAACCTCCACTGTCCAGGCTCCAGAGTAGGACCTCCTAGGTATACAGACGGGCCGAAGCAGCAAGCGCGGCGGTTGCAACGCCAACAGCTCTACTACAGTAGTACAGCGGTACCTACCGTCGAGTAAATGATACATGGGCTCAGCTGAATTATGCACGATAATGGCACATGGATGCGCGCGCCGCCCTCAGGCTCCGGGGGACCCGATAATACAGGGCCGTCCACGACTCACAGAAGTCGATCACAGTACAGGATTCCATGCAGATGCCCACAAAGATATTATTGTTCAGTAGGTACTCGCAACCAGTTACAAATCAGCGAGTCACAAAAGTACCCACAGTGCAATCAATTGTCCGGACTCCGAAGGTCATCACATTGTGATGATTGATCTGGATTCTGAAGTCGGCTGAACTTTCGGAACACAAACTGTGTATGCAGTATACAAGGTGGAGGAACCCTCTGCGACAAGTGGTATGGTTTCACACCTCCGATTCAGAAGTGGCCAGCTCGAGACATACAAGCTTCAAGTTCAGCTCAGGTTGCTGCTCTCCCCTCCGCATGCTGCTCTCTTCTCTTCATTTGAATCCTGTCTTGAAGCTTGTCCTTGCAGCACAAACAACGACTTGGTCATAGCTCAGAACTTGCAATCTCAAGCGGTGGCGCTTCAACTTTATCGCTTTCCTGCGTGCTCCGACGACGCTGGCTCCTTCAGTGAAACATGGCTTCCAGTCACAGCGCAATCGCAGCGTCTCTTTCGCCTCTGACGGAGAACCTTCTTAGCTCTCGCAATGCCCTGTGTCAACAAGTGCACGAGAAGATCAATTCCCGCCGAACTCAGCACCGCCAACTCGACCGGCCCCCCCTCACAATTAAGCCTAGGGGGAGCGTTGGGGCGCCACCGCCAGCTGTTAAGAAAAGCCTGCCGCCGCAGGAACGTTCCAGCTCGGCGGAGCTGACAGCTGTCAGACCTTTGGACGATATTGCAACGTCAGCAGACTGTTTCTGTAGCGACGCCCCCAATGCCCTCAGGCAAACTCCAGAGATGCGGGCAGCGTTTGTGAAGAGAGCTATCGACGAGGCATGTGTTCCCTCGGAAGACTTGGCGGGGAAAGCTCCGGAAGTGAGGGGTATGACTTTAATGGTGGCGTGGATTACGCGGCCATCATGCAGCGGATGTATACGACGGGGTTTCAGGCGACGCACTTTGGGCAGGCGGTGCGGGAGCTAAATCGTATGGTGAGCGGCTTATAGTTTATGGGTGCTTGTGTAAGGAATGAGTTGGGTAATCCGCCTGCTTAGATTCAGAGCCAGAAGTCCTTAAGGCAGCTCCAATACGAAGATGTAGGAGTAATAATTCCCTAAGCGTGACCTGTGATGAGTGCGCCAAGTCCTGATCATCAACCTAGCGCTGGGTGTATGAGTTTGTAGAGTGGGTTCTGTGTCCGGTTGTGAGTCAGTTTGCATGAGCTTCCATGATCCCACGCTTTGACACCCTCAGGAAAGAGAGGAGGAATGAAAGACGACCGACTCAATCATGGAGCCCGGTTCAAAGAGACTTCCCCAGCTCGAAACTGTGTTACAATTGCTCCTATGGATCGCAGCTGATCTCTAAATCTGTGTCAAAAACGTTCATCAGTGGTAACATTTGCGGGTGGTCTGGTCGCGATCCTCGCAGCCAACGTAAAGTCCAAAAGATGATAAGAAAAGACACGCACGTCCACCCAACCTGTCATGTTTTGCTCGCAGCTGGACTGGCGCCTTTCAGACGAGCCGCTTACGTCAGCGACGCCTCCCCAGTGGCGAGACCAGCGCTTCCGCGAGTCAGTGAAGGCCAAGATCTTCTTGGGGTTTACGTCCAACATGACGTCATCTGGCAACCGGGAGATCATTCGTTACTTGGCACAGCATAAGCAGGTGAAAACACGCCCTCTCCTTCTACATTGTCCGAATCTATTCTTCCAGTGAAAGTGGAGCTAGGTCTGGTTTTGTCTCCTTTCCGGCAGAGTCATTACTCTCAACCCTTGCCAATTTCACATCCGCGCCAACGTTTTGCAGACTCTTGACTACTCTCATTTTGCCTTTAGTTCAGACACAAAGGGGATTCTTTCCGCAAAAGAGTGTCTGGGCACTCTTTGCTCTTGCACGACCACACTAGTTTGATAACCCAGCTACGGAATCAATCCTCAGTTGGAACGGACATCTGTGCAAGAGTCTCAAGCAGCTAGCGTCCTTTCGTTGGCAGAACACCGCCCTTCAAACGGCTGAAGCGCGGCCGTCTCAGATGCCGCATCCTCGCCGCAGGTCGACGTCATGGTGTCGTCAGCGGGCGGCATCGAGGAAGACTTCATCAAGTGCCTGGCGCCGACGTACGTGGGCAGCTTCGAACTAGAGGGGCGGGCGCTGCGCGCGCGGGGGCTCAACCGGACGGGCAACCTGCTGACGCCCAACGACAACTACGTCAAGTTCCACGACTTCGCGTTTCCGGTGCTCAAGCAGATGCTCAAGGAGCAAGAAGAGGAGGTGACTGGAAACTCCTCAATCTGCCTTTCAATAATATACATTGAATCTGTACGATAATGCCAAATCTAACGAAGTTGGAGAACTCAGGTAGATACCAGAAGTTCTACTTCGCGGTGCTCAAGCAGATTCTTAAGCAGGAACCCAAGAAAAATAGGTGAAAGCGAACCGGGACAGCCCAGATAATTCGTGCTTTGATTTGGCGCATGAATTTCATACATGATTTCGGCATAGCTTCGCTCCTTTCGCTCTCCTTGTCCCTTTGGCGTTCAAGTCAAGACCATGTCTTCTCTGCGTGTTCCTCTCACGAACCACCGAAACAACTCAAATCCCACTTCCGTTCACTATCTGAAGCGTTCTACCAATGTCGCCCAACTTTCGATGCCCCGACACTCTTGTTGAATGCAAAGGAGCTTGGCTCCTGACGGTTCGGACGTCAAAAGCTTCGGACGTCTCCTCGCGGGCGTGAACTGGACGCCCTCCAAGATGATTCACCGCTTCGGGAGGGAGATCAACCATCCGGACTCCATCTACTACTGGTGCTACAAGGTACGCGAGAGTCTTATCAGGCTCTTTTTAGCAAGGCCTTCAGAATCAGCTGGTAATTGTTTGCTGGCAATTAGTGAGATGGACATTCAATGACACGCTGATTTGACTCACAATCGCAACTGGCCTCTCAGATTAGAATGCGACTGTGTGTATTTTCTTGGTTATGCTTGTTCTCATAAGAAAATGTACGACGTCTAGCTCCCCATTCCAACCGAGAAAGACTGTCTTAGGACTGTCCGACACTCCCTGATAGGTACTTGGCGATTCAGAACCTTTCGTATGGCTCGTTCTTCTCCGTGCTTAGAGGGGCGATCGCCCACGTTATCTCCTCCAACGCATTTAAGCTTTTAGCTTGTCTTATCGACCGTGCTGAGAGTGTTCTTCGCCCAAGTCTCCATTTTTTGTGCTTTTTCAGTCAATAATGGCTCCCGAGGCCAACATGATGTGGCTGAACTGGTTGGATTTGATGCTCACCGTCTCCTCTTCCTTTCAGAACGATATCCGCGTCTACTGTCCCTCGATCACCGACGGCAGCTTCGGCGAGATCCTGTACTTCCTGCATCACCACCAGAGCGAGATCAGAGGCCCACAGCTAAAGCTCGACTTATCCGAGGGTGAGTACTAGCAGCCTTGCCATCATGCGAGACAATACGTGCCCGCCACGTGGCCCTCTGGCAACACAATCCTTAAATCTCAACCGAGGCCTCGCAAGCGACCAATTGGTTGAGGCTCCGCTTTTCCGGTTGCTTCACTAGAAAGGCAACAGCGCTCAGAGACCGCCACGTGTCACCCGAGACAGCACGTTTCTCTGCTCTGATGAGAGGTTACGCGCGCATGAAGGCCCTGAGCGGCTCTTTCAGTTAAGGCTGTCTGTTTTTAGATTCTCTGTGCACGAGAGTTTCTCGACTTGCTTGATGACGGGAGCTCGTCCTCATCCAGTCGGAACTACACAAAGTCCCCTTTCAGGACACTACCTGTAACCTCACACCCGAAAACATGGCGGTACGACCATTTTGACGTGATGAATCTTTCAGTCAGGCACGGCTCTTCATGTCAAAATTTCCTTCATCAGCCCGCCCGCTGGGCAGACATTTTTTCCCTCTCTCGATAACATTCCAGTAGATACTTCGTACATACAATCGCACGGGACGAAGCAGCCCTCGAACGTTTTCCTGCTCTCCTTTTGCAGACATCGTTGCGATGTCCAACGAGACCGTCATGAGCCCACCCCAAAAACGCGGTATTGTCATTCTGGGCGGCGGACTGGCGAAGCATCACATCTGCAACGCGAATCTCTTGGCCGGGGGGGCTGATTTTGCGGTTCTCGTAAACACCGCGAACGAGTTCGACGGCTGCGATTCGGGGGCGCGCACCGATGAGGCCAAGTCGTGGGGCAAGATCAAGGACACCGCGCAGGCAGTAAAGGTCAGTATGGGCGACTATTGTACTTATAAGGGTTTCCATTCAAGCAAGCTCGCAGATTCTGCATCACCACGTGTCCGTTCAGGTGTATCCTAGAAACTTCTCACCTTTCGAAAACACAGAGCGACCTGATAGCGAGCGCAGCTTTGATGGGAAGGCATGTGGCGCTCAAAACAGTTGGTGCATAAGGTGCTCGACTGAGACCCAAACATTTACAAGATTCTCTGCACTTGTGAAACGACAACCTGTAAAGGAATATCTGAGGCGAGTGTCTCGTTACATATTGCAAGCTGCGGAGACACAGGGAGCAGGAGTTGACTGCCTGTCGCCGCGTTCAATGCAAGTGCACTGCATTTTTGAGCGCCCACAAGGGGATTGTCTGGAGACTTCTGCTGCACAAGGGCACATTGTCTGACTTGTCTCACGAAATTCACACCAATACAAGTGCACTGAAACAAGTGTCTCTCTGACAGCATCATCTGATCTGATGACCCCACGTTAACCCTTTCTATCTGCTTGCTAGGCGACTCATAACGGGGCCCCGTACAGCCTCAGTATCTTGATAGGAACCCCATACCAGCATCTTAATATGCCGAATTGCAGGGACCGTAAGGTTAAGATTTTGTCATTCTATCGCGCTGATGCAACGCGGTTCTACGTCCAGGTTTACGCGGACGCTACTCTCGTGTTCCCGCTTCTTGTGGCGGAGACATTTGCCCCCCGGGTAGTAGCGGCGGCCCGGGGGATCCCTTCCGAGCGCTGCCAGTGTTAATCGGCAGCAGTGCCTGCATGAGAAGTCGAAGGCCCGGGGGATCCCCTCGAGCGCTACCATTGCCCCATAAGAGCAGCGGCCCGGGGAATCCCTTCCCAGCACTGCCAGTGCCAGGTGGCAATGTTGATTACGTGAGGATCTGAAAGCCCCTGGAGCAATCAAGTCAGCGCTACCTGCACGAAACGATCTTGTTGGGTGTCCGGGCGAGACATGTTAGGAGGAAAGAGAAACGAAGCAAAATGTATTTAGCTGTGAAGATGGACGCTAGAGAATTGTTTTTGGACAGCCAGGAAACGATTTTCATGGAACAAGCGAGCTCTGTAGGCAAAGTTTTATTTGAGAACGATAATGATGTTCAAGGAACAACGAGCTCTGTAGGCAAGGTTGATTGAGAACTCTTTGCAAGGCGTTACCGATTCGCATGTAAAAAGTAGGATCGAAGCGTACAGATTCTCAGATCCCGGTACATTAGAAAGTATAAAAGGACATCGTGCAGTACATTGGCTAGAATGTGGTAGACTCCCTTGCTACAGTCGGTTCAAAGTTGAAACAATAAGTATGGGGAGAACACTGAGATTAGATGAGCTATCCGAGTCTTATTTCTCGGAATCGAGCGCAAATTTCTCTCAGCTAGTAGCGCAGTGGAATTCCAATGGTTGAGAGGATTGAAGTTTTTTCACAGCAGGATACAACATGTACACGTTTTCAGGAAAGATTGAGGCCGTCATCCGTTCTGAACCGGCCAAAAAGCGATGCAGATTGATCACGACAAAACGCGCATGGCCGCGCACCTCTATAATCCTATAAGTAGGAGTAAAGGAGGAGTAAGTGGAAGCAGGCTTCCTGCATCGGCCGCGCAGTGACTGTATGCCCTTCTGCCAGCCATCGTCCAAGGGCTGAGCTCGAAAACATCAAGCAGTGCATAAGTATACAATGATTAATCCTGATTGAGTGAACCGCATAAGCACAGATGGGTTGCTTTCCAAGGTAATCGGATGGCCTGAACCTTGACGATTGTACTCGCATGCACGTGGACAAGGCACGTATAGCGATCGCGATGCAAAAATGACGGCTCATGATCATCTCAACAAGAATCGTGCTTCTGTGCAGATGGTCTGGAAAACGTTGAGATCGTGATTATGCGAATGATACTTGCCCAATATTATACTCGCTCTCCACTTCAAACAGGCCGAGACGCAATAGGGCTTTTACATCTCACACATTTCCGACGTCCCATGGATCTTCGCACTGATGGTTTTGCAAAGGGCTGTGACGTTGATCGAGTGTACTAGTCAGGGTCGATTCAACAGCCACTCTGGTGAATAAGCTGGCAGGAACCGGAATTGCCTCACGATTATCTCCTGACAGGATCTGACAGCTTCTTCAAAAAATGCACTCAGTCCTATCGATTGCAGACCTATCGATCCTTTCACCTACAGCTCACGTGGCCAAATGTGTCCGAGTTCCTGATCGACGTTCGAAAGCTGAACACCTATACTGCGCACATTAATCCAAAGGCTAACTTTCATCTTCCTAAAGCTTGTCCTCTTCCCCCGCGGCCGCGCCGCGTTCTATAAGGCGTTGGACGTACGGCATGAAGTGGCCCTCATAGCGTTTCCGGACGTCCGGCCGCTGATAATCGCTGCCCAACAGCTTGCCGCGGCAGTTTTTGGAGCCACAGAGGCAGGATTCCCAGCCCGAGATCTGATACCTGCAAAAGGAAAGAAAGGTGACGGCTTTTGAAAAGCCGCAGGTTGTGCTTGTTGTGTGAGGCGCTTGATCCTCGATAGAAGACGGCCTTAATGTTATGTCGCGGCGCCCTTGAGGCTGCAGTACCCAGCTTCGAGCTCAATCAAGATCAGTTGCAATCTCGTTTGCGGTTCGGAAATCTCGGTTGCAGCAAACATTCACTTCATTATCCCAACGCCTCCTCATCGTGGGTTTCGTTGATTCACAAGCTTGAACACGTCCCGACCAGAAAAAGAGTCGGCCTTGCAAATGCATTGCTTGCTATGCAAACGAAAAGCTTCCCCAATGAAAGGTACCCGTTAACGCGTGATTCTACAGTAGGTGCCCGAATCTACCAGGCTGCTCAATTGGGTCTGTTCAAGCACCTTTGCAACAAGCAGACCGAAAAGTAGATCTCCGGTGACCCCCCAATTCTCACCTGAAGTCGGTCGTCTCGGAGGTGGCGTAGTCGAATGTAATCTCCTCTCCGGCCTTCATGGCGCGGCGCGCGAGCATGCGAGCGGGGTCCTCCGTAAGAAACCTGGGAAGTAGAATAGCAGGGGCGCGTTTGGGTTTCTGGCAGACGGTATGCGCCCTTGTCCATGCGGAAACCAAGCATAGTGCAGCTTGGTCCCTCGAAAGCTAACGCGTTTGTAATCCTCGAAGCGCTTGGCCGCCGTGTTCTATAAAGTGGCCAGGATGATAACTGCTTTAGGTTGGAATGCTTTAAGGTGCATAGGATCGTGTTAGAAGGTCGCACTTTGACAAACTCCGATCGTCAAGCAGGCGTCCACTGATATGTGGCGTACGCTGCAGCGAAACGTATGCTCCGAAGCCATTCTGACTGAGCTGGGCTTCGAACACCTGTCATCCGTTTCACGAGCAGCAGACTCTAGCACATGACAACTTCAAGGCGGACTGGCTCTACTCCACATAGCTGGGCCCACCGTAAAGTTCTGACTGGACCCAAAAAAAGAGAGACGAAACAAAAGGGACGAAGCAAGTCGAGTATTATGCCACGTCTAGGCACTTACCAGCAATTCGGATCACAGCTGTGGTTCATGTAATTCGAAGCGTCGCTGCGCACGATCTCCAAGCTCCCCACTCCCGCAAACGTCTCCTCTTCGATCTGGTACGCATAGTGCATGAACTCGCGCTGGCGTTCCGAGGGCCAGGACTTGATCTCTGGAAGGGTATGCAGGTACTTGTCCGCACTGCATCGTAGAAGGGGAGCTTTGATCAGCAGTCACCAAGCCAGCTTTCCGGGAAAGTGTATAGATTGGGGCCAAGTACATCTCGAGGTTGTTGTGCTAATTGATTTCGCTGGCGCTCCAAAGGCCAGACCCGGATCTCCGCAGACGAATGCACCTTACATGTTGCACTGCATCGTAGGAAGGAGAGCCTTCAGTCCTTCCAAGCGAGCTACTCTTACTGGAAGGGGAGCTTTCAACCTTTCCCTTTCTCTTCATGCTTTTAGGAAGGGGAGTATAAACAGCCTCCTTTGAACAAGCCTTCGAGGAATGAAGTGCGCTGAACTTGGGGACAATCCAATGATTCTGTGAGCTGCTGATCCAATAGGAGCAGAAGGACCCCAAAACACGCAGCTTGTTTGAGAAAGGTTGTATCAATTTTCCTGCACGCCCGGTTGCGGTTTCTTGGCCCATCTCTTGGCCCATCATTTTTAATTCAAGCGATGTGGATATAGAGCATCTAGGTCGGCTTCAACAAACTGGAGAATCTACCTAGATCACGCTCTAATTCCTTATCTCCTGCCAGAGACGGTCCTTAACCCACAGGCGGGAGCAGCAAATGCCTACAGAATCAGCCGCCGTCCAATCTCAGCTTAGAAACCACACGAAGCCCAGAAGGGGGTCTCACTTGTACGTGTCATCGCTCCATATCACCTCCCCTTCCTTGATCCCTGCCGTTGCGAAAAGACCCATCCCGCCAAGACGGCTATCTCGGAGCTCAACGTGCTGGTGCAGGGAGAAGTATTTGGGGTCCCGTTCTGGGCCGGTTACAGCAACCACCTGAGCATGACAAAAGATTCCAGAAATGTGCAGGGCGTTTTGTGGGGCAGTGTTGAGAGCTCTCTAAAGGTTACTCGAGAACTTGGAGGTTTTGGGCTTTCTTTTGGGGTCTGAATTCAGGGTTTCCAGCAGACCCCAACGAAGAGGAGGGACTGTGGGTTCTAGCTTTGTGGGTGGAGCTGTGAAGCTAATTTGAATGAGTCGAAGTGGTATAGATGGCTGTTCAAGCTAGATACTGCTTGAGAAGTGGAGAAGTCTAAGCAATCTGTCCTTTGAGCATCTCAGAGAACTCCTATGGTGGATTGAGTTGAGGGGCCCTACGTCTCGAGGTGCTTCCAAGCATAAAAATGTTGAGCACCTTATCGGGGCCTGCTTTTCATGAGCTAGAGAACTAGATGGCTCGCTGGTTCTTCAGGCGCTTGCTGGGTGTGTGGAACAATTGAAAAGAAGGGGCAAGGATTTAGGGGTCCTTTCGATCACAGTCTGACATGTACAGGTTTACTATTGAAAGTAAAAGCAGGGTCTGTCGGTGGAGGAAGAAGTTTCTGGTCTACGTGTTTCTATGTTTCCGCAGCCAGCATAGGACAGAATGTCCTTGGGGTTGAAAGAGGTCGAGAGCTCGAGAAGTAAAGGACTGATTTCTATAATCACAAAGGAGCTGCTTATAAAAGTCTTGACAGCTTTGAGCTGAGCTGAGTAAGCCCAAAGGTTCATTGTTGCCAAACTAAAGAGGCAGCTCAGCATCCCGGACTTCTGTTTCTGATACATCAGAAGAAGTATACAACGTCACATGCTGCCATATTTGGTACCTCACCGTATTGCTCTCAGGTAGCTTTCAAGGGGTATGCAAGCAACGTCTCCAACTCTCACTCGTTTCCAGGCTCACACATACATATTTAGAATAGCTGGGCGAAAGGTACATTAGCTGATTATGCCAAAGACTAGCTACGTAAGAAAAAAGAAAAGCCTCTAGGAGTCAACGCAAGAGGATGAAAAGGCTCACCATTTTGAGTATCTGTGATGGCGCCCTAGGCTATTAAGTGCCTGCGAGCTCCAAGACCTTTCAAGGTCAGTGGGATGCCCGCCTCGTAATTGTTCAAGTCGCTTTCTGTGGCCAACAATGAACGTGTCAAAGCACTTGTAGCCCACTTGTAGGCGATTCAAAGGCCTTTGGAAAGTAAGGCCTGGCGTTCGACACTACTGGTTGAGATTCAGCTGGAGTGTTGCGAGCAGCTGTGCCAACCAAAAGCCTTGACACAGCTGCAAGCTCATTTCTCTCTTTGATTCTTCAGCGACTTTCAGACGCTGATCATTCTTTTTCAACCTATTCAGGCTCGTCGACAGTGGAGGGCCCCAGCTGCTAGCTAGGACAGCAGCTGTCAGCAGCTGGCGGGGTCTGTAAAGTTCATACTACCACTGCCAGCTACGGTACTTGTGAACCAAGACTTTAACGTCTCAACTGCAGCTCATCATTGACACAAGGCAAACTTTAAGTTTCTGCAAATATACCGTCTCCAGCACACTCAGTCTCTGCATTCCGCGTACATGCGAAGAAGTTGTACTCACCGGTCGGTACCTGCCAACCATGTACCGTGTCGTCAGCAAATTGGTGGCAGAGCATCATCAATTAGTTTTCCAACTTTTGGGGCGCAGGAGTCGGGAGGTGCATTATGCAATTTTGATGCGATGGTCGATTGCTTTGTCAAGGGCCTGCAAGCTATTTCTTGCACGAAGTTTCTTGTGACAGGCTATAGCCTTCGAAGTGCACGGGCTTGAGGAGACGTGTCCACAGTACGCGGTAGCTAGGTGCTTAATCACATAGCTAGCTGGGAATCGAGCCTTTCCTGACTCATGTAACCTGCTGAATCTTGAGTCCTGTCGACGTCTCCCGACTCCGATCCTGAGCGCTGACTGACACAACCATGGTTTAGAATTAATATTACGAAACTACTGTGATTCTGCGCGCGACTGTCGGAAGGAATGGACTTCTCTATTGTTGCTTGCAGAAGCTGGGAGAGCTCATGATCACCACAACGCCATCATTATTGCGCTCCAATGTTTCAAATTCCGGTCTAACCGGCGGACGATTCATCATCTCAACTTTCAACTAGGATGAAAGGCAACAGGGATTCAGAGATCAAGAATGTCTTCGACCAATATCTCAGTATCGCCGGTGAAGACAACTGAGCGTCGAACCAGCTGCAATCTCACGAGAATGAGCTGAAGCCTGAAACCGCGCCTGGTGACAACGACGGCCGTAAGACTTAGACAGCTGTCGTGTCCAGGATCCGCAATTCTAGGTAAGAGAGCGACTTCGCAGGTGGCATGTTGCATTGATGACTGGACACCTGGCATGTGGGCGCAGTCCCCAGCAATCCAAAATCACTCTTTGCATTGCAAGCAGCGCGGTCAATTACGTGAAGTGCTCTTGCGATCAGCACATCAAGGTAGACTGCATGCCCAACATACTGACCAACAAAAGCTGGCTGCTGCGCCTGGATCAGTGTTTCTAGTAGGCAGCCATTCTGCACGGCCCCTTTATTTTCAGTGACCGTATCGCAGCTGGGGAGGACAAGCGCCCGCCTTTGCCAAAGCCGTCAAATAAGGCAAGCTTTTGACTGGTTTCGTGCCCTCTGAGTCGATCTCAGGGCAAGCTTCTCCTGCGGGGAAGAGTTGTTCAGAGCTTACACAATCATGTGCAAGAGTATTTCTTTCGGCTTGCTGCCACACTTTTACCGTACTCTCATGATAGATATAGCAGCCCGTCGAAATAGTACTCTTATGCGGACATGTAGCATCAAGTATTTCACACTTCTCAAGTTACACTTTGGTCAAGGCTCTGGCAAGAGAAAGGTAATGCACACGCCAGACGTCAACGTCCCTCGATACAAGACCCTTCACCTCGCCAGATATTCGACCCACCGCAGTGTTCCTTCGACCCCAGCAGCCTCCCCCCAGCAGCCTCCCCCAAATTTCTGACCGGGCCAGCAGTTCTCAGTCCTTCGACACAGGCAGTCTCCCACCAGCAAACATAATGGCCCCCACTGTCTTGATTTCAAAGCGCTGCTCTCAGGCCTAAAGTTTCTCAAGTTCCTTGACGCCTCGCCGCCGGCACGCGCTCTCACCTCCCTCTTCCCGCTCCTATTCGAAGTATCCCCCCACTCCGAAGTTGACTGTCCAATCATCCTTGAATGAGTCGCCGCGGCAGCGGGCCGTACTTCGTACATCAGGAGAGACATCGTGGTTGCATACTTCGCAACCTGGCAGTCAAATCGAATGGGTAAGATAGTAGTACAAGCTAGAGCCTCCCATTGACGTAACCCACTACGGGCGCGCGTGCACTGGGAAATCCTCAAGTCATGACAGTCCACAAAACTTGGCAAGGCCCGTTCCGGCGCCGCCTCACGCTTGAGTGAGAGGCACAACCATGGCTTTCCGGCGAGATAGGTGATTCGACAGTGCATCGACGGTCATACACTTAAGGTCATCACAAACTCCCCCCCCCGACGAACTGGCGCCTAGTTGGCACCACCCATGCCCGTTCCAAACTGTTGTAATGTTATCCGCCCAAGAGTTGCCAGATTGACACCATCGAAACACCTGATTGGACCTGAGGCATATTTGACGACCAGAAGGCACGTGACAAGTGGGCGTCACGGAGTCTTCTAAGGCATACTTGGTGCCTTCGTGGTGTCAAAATGTTGTAATGTTTGTTGCCTACTTGCTGCAAACCTTTTTGGCGCCTTCCATGCGTCAATTTGTCGGGGGGGTCATTTTGTAATGGTTTGTTGAGCCACGAAAGAGTGTGTCGACCGGACGTGGAGGCAAGCATGAGCAAGCCCAGGAAGCGTTGGCCGCCTACTAAGCGATTCTATCATTCAGGACATCATTCGGGCGCCGCATATGTAAACTCCCTAGCACGAGCTGGTACACACCGTCCTGCCAGGCACGATGCATGCAGCTGGTGCAATGCGCATCAGCCTATCATTGTTAAGCTGAAATCAGATTTGCAGCTTGCATATGCGTTAAGCAAAGAATCAAATTCGTCTCTGCATGGGCCGCGGCTGGACTCCAATGAGAGCTTTGCGAGGGCGGCCGCCCTGGCACTGGCCTGGGGGACTGGCCATCTGCATGGCCGATCTATGACACATGCATGGGCTTAGGACTCGGTTGCATCTGCATATCTACCAAAAAGTCGCAACACAGCCCGCGACCACATCGGACCACGTCCGGCCACCATGCTCAGCTTGATAGAATCAATATATGAATGGCAGTGGATAACGTACCGTACCAGGATGGAACAGGCGCATGATAATATGGTGGCGTATACTAGGACGATCCCATCAACTTGCGGACTTCTCAACTCGGAACTGAAATGATCATTAGATAGGCGACGTCCTTGAAAGTTTGAACGTCAATATCTAGCTTACATTGACGGTACCGATCGAAGATAATCAACGCCAGGAGCGTCGTACGTACTGAGTATGTTCTGCGGTAGATGTTTGATTTGTCCTGTTCCTATAGAGTACTGCTGCACTGAAGGCTGGTACGTCGCTCCTAGGACGCAGTGAATCAACACGTTTCTCGAAGGAGACCTTGAAAGCATTAATCAATGTCAAGCTTACATTGTACACCGTACCGACTAAAGATTTAAGGTCATGAGCATCGTACTATGTATATTCAGTTTGCAGTAGTTATTCAAGTTCCCGCTCCTAGAGTAGTGCTCATGACTGTAGACGCTCAGGAAATCAACACGTTTCTCGGAGGCAAACTGTATAATGTAGCGTGCAATGATGCACCTCTAAACAAGAATGGGTACAAAGCAGATGATGTTGAAGGTCGAGAACGAAGTGAATTTGACGCTGTCACTGCTGCGGTTACGTTGATCAACGCATGGAATCGAGGCAGCGGTACAGGGACAAACGTCCAATCGTACATTCTCTTGAATGAGCATGCCCCACTTGCAGGAGGCATCCAAGGAGAGTCACGGTAGAGCTTAGCTTACATTACCTTGCAGAAGCAACACGCGCCAACAATATATATGCTACAGTCCGGTATGCTGAAGAGGTGATCGAGGTCAATCAGTGTTAGATTCCGTACAAGCTATCTGGGTATAACGGGTTGACCAAGCCTGCTGCTCTGGCGCATGAAGGAGCTATCCCGCGTACCATATGGCGAGCCTCCATAGCTCATAGGCGATCCCCGGTCGTCTGATTGTCGTGCTACCGAGCGACGGTAATGATCTGCAACGGAGCAGGCACAGGTTCCAGATTCCATTTCAATCGGACGTTCTGCTCGAGACCAAACGCAGAGCACTCCCCCCTAAAAGTGGCACGCCTAGCCGAAGGCCAGGTGGGATGCGAGGAAGTGATGGAAAAGCGACCTCCTTGACAGGTTATCCCAAGCGAACGGAGGCGATAGTACGACCCTTGCAGATGATCATAGAACTAGCAGCGGGAATGCAAGGGCTGTCAACTCTCGGGTATGATTTGCTGGCGCCACCCGGCTCATCCCAAGCTTCTCAGCATTTCAAAGGTACATGACAACCATCAGGCACCCAAATAACGGAGGCTCAGGCAGTTCCAACCAAGTTGGCGTTTCTTTTCGTGAAAGGGCGGTCATTGGAGGGGATCAGGTTGGCTGGTCCTACCGTGAAGAGTCGGTCAGAATAGCGAAGGGGAAAGGCATGTGTCCCTCACCTTTTACACGGACGCTGTCGAGCTCTCTTGCGAGCTCTTGCTTCCACTGCTCTTCCTTGGAAAGCGGCACGTCTTTCAAGCTGCAACAAGGAAACATCGCAGGGGGTCATCAATCACGATAAGAGGCCTCGGGTATCGGATGTGAGTCGCCCGCAAAATCGTTGTTAACCTTATGGGAGATGCAAAAGGAGGCTGCCCGATGAGGAGAGCCGCACTGACGAAGAAATTTTGACAGGAAAGAAGACATGCACAACCGAATATTTCGCTCTCGCCCTATCTCGTGCGCTTGTTCCGAGTTAGCGTCCTGAACACCATAACCAGCACCTCACGTGGGGCAAGACCCGCAATAGAATCTCCTTCCAGTCGAAACAGCTCTTTTAGAAACTGAATTCCTCCAATTGGTGAACCTGCCTCAGAGGAATCAGAAGGCAAGAGCATAGAAGGGACGCACAAACGGTCCAGTTCTTTCTCTAAGACATCACTGTTAAGCTTCGCTGCCAACCCACCTTTCGGTCAGGAACGGCTGCGGCGGCCGCCCCAGGTCCAGGTCCGCCCTCGAAGCCCCGCCCTCCAGAAACGACGTTGCCCGCTTCACCCCAACCGGTACGACACTGACGTCACTCCCGTCCCGACTGCTCCTCGCGCCGCTGCTCCCGCTGGTGCCGCCGCCGCTCCCGCCCTCCCGGAAACTGCGCGCACCCCGCGCCCGCGCGATCAATGGCGACGGGCCCCCCTCCGCGGGAACCACGCACCCCCCAGCGTTGGCACGGGTTCGGGGCTCGGTCTGCGGGACCCGGGGTACCGGGGTACGCGCGTAAGTTTCCTGGCCTCGGGGGGTGCCCCGGAAGCTCCTCGGGGGCGCGTCGTAGCTGTCTCGGTACGGGTCGGGGGGGTATCCGTTCACTCGCGGGCTGGCGTAGGGATCGGCGGGCTGGGGGGAGTAGCCGTTCCCTCGGGGGGAGGAATAGCTGTCCGCTTGGCTGTACCCATTATTGCCTCGGCCGTAAAACTCCCCCCCGCCAGAGTCGGGGTATCCATTACGCCCCTCCTCGTCGGGTGGCGCATACGAGTCGTCTTCTCGAGAGGGCGACCCCGAGTAGGCTTCTTGCTGCACGCTGGTCGCCCCGTAGCCGTCCGTCTCCTCGCCGGAGCGCTCGTCGGAAGCGTCCGAATACCGGAGGCTCGAGTTCGCCTGTTCCTCAAGAGGCACAATCAGCTCTTTAAATTTTTGCGCCTGCTCGTCTAGGAACGCCATGAGCGTTTCTTCGTTCACGACTTCCTCGGTGCCCAGATCTTCCTTTTCCGACCGGCCCTTGGAACCCTCCTCTAACCGCTCGCTTTTGCCTCCGTAACCCTCGTCTAACCTCCCGCTTTTGGCACCATAACCCTCTTCCAACTTCCCGCCCTTGCCGCCATATGCTTCTTCCGCCTTTCCAGCTCTGCCGTCGTCTAACCGCCCAGACTTGCTCCGATAACCCTCGTCTAACCTCCCGGTTCTGAGCTCTTCCCCCTCGACTAACCGCCCCGTCCTGCCTCGATAACCCTCGTCCCCCCTCTCCTCTCTATTTACGTATGCTTCCTCCGTCTTTGACCGCACGCTTTTCCGTTCTTCCTCCCTCTCTCTCGAGCTCTGCCGTGAGTGGGCCCTGCTTTTGGGCGGGTCGGCATTGCTAGCACTGGCGCCGGGGGTGCCCTCGTTGCTGACAGGGCCTCCCGCGAGCTGCCTGCGAACTTCCGCCGAGACAAGGTTTTCGTCCTCGCTCAAACTGTTGTCCCAGTGTACGATGTTGACGTCGCCCGCAATCGTTGGCTCCTCCATCGGATTGAACGAGTTCTGTGAGAAAGAAGAAGATGGATCAAGGCTATCTGCCAAACATGGGAGCATCCTCACAAGAACAGCAAATAGTGAGCGAAGTGGTCAACATCAAGCGGACTCTTCATGATCAACGAGATAAAAGGATAAGCTCTTCACACACTGAGAAAGCTTTGAAACTACAACAATAAGATCTTCATTGGACAGAGAGAATGAGAAGACGCGAAGGAACACGGAGGGACTCGAAAAAGAGAGGGAAAGCAAGAGGGAAAGACGGTATCATAAGTACCGCAATCATATGTCTCTACCCTTACTTCCTTGAAGACCAATATTGGGTCCGCAGGATACATTTCCAAGATAAAATCGCAGGCTTCACTTCCGAGCAGATTCGACAGAAAGTTACAGAAGAGTACAGACAGTCAGAAAAACGGGACAGAACAAGGATTTCGAAAGTCGCGGGGGAATTTCGGTGTCGGGATTACTATGCAGACCTTGTACGCAACAAAAGGGAGCCGCCGTGCCTCAGATCTTGGTGATAGTGTCTATCAGCACTGTTTCTCAGAGTGGTGCATGACATATTTGCATCATAGGCAGCGGCCCCCTCGAAAAATGTCAGTGACATCGTTTCCAGCAGAAGGAATACCAAGCCCGACACTCGGAGCAAGCGTCCAGACAGCGACAGCCCTTCGGATCCAGCCTGAAAATATCACCAATTTTGTCATAAGAGCTCACCATCATCGAGAGGTTATTGTAATCCCCTACGCCCAGCCCCGTCGGGAACTGCACCATACCCCGCGCCTCCTCCTCCTCTTCGCTCCTGTGCCCGTTCTGGCGGCCCCCATCCCGGAAGCTCTCCCCGTCCCTAGTTCCCCCTCCGCTCTCGCCGGGCGAATACTCCCCCCTGCTCGCGGACTGGTCTTCGCCGATTGGGCCCAGCTGATTTTCGTAAGCGAGGCTGGCCTGATTTCGGTTGAGGCTTTGTGGGGGAAGGGAGGATACTACCGAGCCTTGCCGCATGCTATCGTCGTCGTAACTGGTGGAAGGGGGGAGGGGGGCGGTGGGAGGGGTGGCGGGGCGCTTGTTCCAGGCGGGAGCGTAGGAAGGCGTACGGCCTCCTGCGCTCGTGAGTGTCTGCACGGGTCACCGGAGAACGGGCATGAGTTGGCTTTCGAAACAGCAATTGAATTCTTTGTACAGGAATGTGATTATTCTGGACTCGATTGATGTGACTCAATTGATGTGTATGGCCAATTCAAACGACTAAGATTAGGCCGAGCCTTCGAAAGGTGGAGGCCTCGGAGAACGATGCTTTTCTGCTTCCACCGACGAGGGTGTGGCGGTTCGTAATCTAAAGCAGTTTCGAACCCGGTCGACAATGAGCTCGGAGCCAACCTTCGAAATTGATCGAAAGCAGTAATCAGGTGCCAGAATCAAACAGAAATATCAAAGCCTGGCCAACACATTAAGAACTGCATGCATGCTGAACTGTGCCCCGCTCTCCTTTCTCCAAGCCACGCAAGATTATGGGGATGGTTTCACTCACCCCACTGGTCAGCACGGGCGTTTGCTGCGAGGGCACAGACGGAAGGAAGGTGCTGCTAGCAAGGGACGGGGAAATGCTAGACCGCTCGAGACCGGCTTCTGCTATGAACGGGTGCTGCACAGAGAACCGGGGCACGTTAAGGAGCTTTTCCTAGACCTTCAGGAGCTTTCCTTGGAAACGACCAACTCCATAAACGGCGGAGAAGGACGGTCGCGGGGGTTTACTGAAGACACACCATTGGTCTAAACTCACTCAATTCTTTTCTTGAAGAATGATGCAACCAATGATTGCTGCTAGTCGCAGTCCCAAACCAGCCTTCGTGTTGTCAGCAAACTTTGGTACCTGCCGAAATGTCGAGCTTAAGACAACGATAGATTCCTTTGATTGTCTCCGTCTCTTTTGGTCGACTTCGGTCATGCTAACCGATCTCAGCACGCTTGGCCCTGTCAGCTCGAAGGTGCGATATCTTCTGCATTACAGATTTCTCGAGCACACAGGACCAGATTCGGCAACAGTCGTTATGATTCCAGAACTCGTTCTTCCGAATCATTCTCTACATGAACGAATGTTGCAGAATTTTCCGCACTTACCCTGAGTAGCTCTGTGGCGCTCGGCCTCTCCTTTGGGTCTCGCCGAAAGCACTTGAGCAGGAAATCGCGTCCATCGGCCGACAGGTTTTCGGGGATCGGCGGGGGGCCTTTTGAGGATGCAATATGGAAAAGTGCGGAGACCTGCAAAAAGCGTGTATACTTAGCACTACCAATCACCGGCTACAACGAGTGTCTCGTAAAACCATGGCGAAAACCTGAAACCTTTTCAGTGCTGCATGAAGCTTGATGCTTCCATGGGCCGCAGGGAACAGGGAACAGGGAACAGGGAAGGGTCAGGAGGGACGATTGCGGTTGTGTGTCTTCTCACCCCTGACGAGAACTGGCTCCAAGGCGGCTTCCCTGTCGCCATCTCAATGACTGTGCACCCAACGCTCCAGATGTCCGCTTGTCTTCCATGCCCCGTTTGCTTGATCACCTCTGGGGCCATCCAATACGGTGTGCCCTTCATGGACCGGAATCCCTCTGACATGGTCGCCTGTAGAGAAACATTCGAGGTTGTTCGCCTACAAAATCGGAACTCCTGTTCGCTTCAGAACATTGCAAGGCTACTTCTTGAAATGAAGGCTTGACCGAAGTGCTTGGTTTAGTCCTTAACCTCTGCACAAGGATACTTGAAATGAGCAGATTGTGAACAATTTGCATGTCGACTGTTACCTTCAACACGAATACGCCTTGTTGAAACCAAAATCTTCAACCAAAGTCGATATAAGGGCACGCTTCCCATTCCCTAAAACTTCCATTTCCCGCTTAATTGCTGGAAATTTCGAAGAACCAGGGACCATCTTTTGCCTTCCATTTCAGTCACTAAGCAGAAAGTGCACGAATCTTTCAAACAACCATCATCCGAGTCGGGAAAGGAGGTACTCGGAACCAATAAAGGGGAGGACACTCACCAAATCAGCTAGCTTCTTCGAAGCTCCAAAATCAGCGAGCTTGATCACGCCTTTATTGTCCACCAGAATATTGGCTCCCTGCATGGCATAGAAGAGGTTCAGTTGATAATCGGATTGATGGGCCAGCATCGACGTTGCTGCAGCAAATTTGAAAGATCGAGAGAATGATAAATAGATTGTGATTAGATTTCAACCTCGTACTCTCCACAAACTTTCGTAAGATCAAAATACTCCCACCGCAGCAGCTGTTCTGCCTCAGAACGAGGTCTTGAGCCCGGGCTAGCAGCCTACCTTGATGTCTCGATGCATGATCTGGTGGTTGTGCAAGTACTCCAAACCAAGCAGGAGCTGGCACGTGTATCTCCGAATGACCTGGGCGCACAAAGTTGCTGTCAGATTGAGGAGGACAAGGAGTTCTGGGGTTACCGAAGACTGTCCAATGTCGGGGGGCTGCACAGCAAGGAGCGCTTTCTAACACCACGAAGACTGGTTTGAAACCTGTCACAAATCACTGATGCTCACTGCAGATCACTATCAACCGAGCGGCTGGAGATGCATTACATATGACAAGACTGCATCTAAAGAGACCTTCCAGGTGGGGAAATGACCAGCCATAGAAGCCATAATCGAAAAGAGGAGGCTTCTACAATGATTCCTGGTTTCTTGCACTGACGTTATGACGTACCCGCAAGCAATGTGTAATAATTCGAAGAACTTACTGTTTCTTTGAAGCTTCCAAACTTGGACAGAAGCGAGGCGATCGAGCCCCCAGGGACAAACTCAAGGAAGATATTCAGGCACTCCTCCTCACGGTCGGTTCCCAGGTACCGCTGCATGAGCATCATATCCGCATGTCAGGTAGGATTTGTCTATCAAAAAGATGCTCTTGCAACTGCTCCCCCTGGTTTTCTGCGCCGCTTCACCTTGTAAGCGGGAAAAAGCGGCACAGAAGTTGTGACCTCCTACCTGAGAAAGTATTTCAAGGAGTACTGACCATCCTTTTCTCAGCTTTTCACAACAGAAACTCTTCTTACACTGGCTGCTTCCAACTGTTGTTGCAACAAGCGGTGTGAAGTGCCTCATTCTGTGCCTTCCCTGTCCGCATCACACGTCCAATCCGCACCAACTTTTAAAAGGGGGGCATTGCCGTACTTACCACGATGTTCGGATGCGACAGGTTCCGGAGCACAGCCACCTCAGCCTCCAGCCCCTTCAGATGTTCCTGGATCTTCTCCTTGGACGTATTATTAGTTGCTAGGAGGACCTGCTTCACTGCTAAAAGCTCCCCCGAATCTAGGTTCATCCCCATGTAGACCCTCCCAAATGCACCCGCGCCGATCAGTTGCCCCTTGGCCCATCGGATGGGCTCTAGGGTGTCTTGCGGCGGCCCGACACCCTCGATCATGCGCTGCAGATCGTCGGCGCTATCCCCGTTTTCGTGGAAGACTGGAGCTTCGTCAACGCTGTTGAAGTAGTCGTCCTCCGCAGGGGTCTGCAGATCACAGAATGATTGGACCGTGCTTTGCCAAAGCTTCAGAATTGGCAGCTGATAATCACAGAATGGATTGGACGAAACGATCATAAAAGGTTGGTTCAACAGATCAACTTTGCCAGATGCTGTTCTTGAGGCATATGCTGAGAATCATTTCTGCTCAGGAAGGCAGAAAACTTTCGCAGGTAGAAGACCGGCTCTTTCAAAGTGCTCTCCTTGAAAAGTAGCGGTCAGACGTTGTAGATGCCTCTAAGACAACTTTTCATCCCACGAGATGTGGAGATGAATTACAACCTGCTAGCAATAGGGGCTAGCTGTTGCTCAACCCTAACGCTTGATCGTTTATGCAGGAGATCTGCGCGCCAAAGCAGGCGTCCACCTTGGAACCAGCGGAAAAGATTATTGGGGCCAAACCTGAGGCGTGCTTGCGCTTGGGGGGGTGGTCAGGTTTGCAGGGATGCTTGGGGGGATGTCCACCCGCAAGTCACGATTTGCACGTGGTGGTCTTTCCTCCCCTCGGGGCTGCATTTGAGGCACATTCCCATGAATAGTGGATAAACAGAGCGGTCCATTCTGCAGGGTCCCTGAGGAAGGTTACATCATCGGACAATATTCGTTCACAAGGAGAGTTAAGGAATAGAAGAAGCACAGATTGATTTGGAGTCCTCCAACTGGAATTGAGGAGGAGCCCAATGTGAACCCAACCATATGCACAATCCAATGGTTTGAAAATGGCGATTTGCAGATACTCACCCTTGCATTCCGGTTCACATCAACTCTCCTGCTCTGGCCCGCTTCAAACCTTGATGCAGCATAGGAACTTTCTCGGCCTCCAAGTGGTTTCTGCCGGACGTCAGCACTTGCATGGTTTGCATAGCTGTGCTGTCCATAAACAGCATTCTGGACATAGGCTGGATGCCCATCCTGCAAGCGCCCCATGAGAGTAAGATTTATTGATACTTTGCAACTTTCAAACTGGTGAAGTATGCAGAGATTGACTGGCTTTCAAATTTGGACTGACTCGCAGATAAACCCTTTTCGAATCAGTGACCCGCAGCAGCGAGAATTCGAAAAACCAGAAAATCAAGAGGGAAAAATTGCAGGCGTTACCAATTCTTTACATTATCAATGAGATACGAAATGGTCTTACGATGGCAGCACTCACATGCTCGTCTGGAAAAGCCTGTCTCCCAGCACAGAGCGATGCCCCCATGCTGCCCTACAGAGTAACCCGAAGTTGCCCTGCTCGGACCCCGAGTAGCTAATGACTTCTTAGCCTGTCCACCATGGTAGTGATACAGGCTCTCTGCTCGAATCTGTGCTCTAGCACATGCTTTACACAAGAAATCTGTCTTGACGGCAGTCTTGATGTCCCCAACGCTATTCAAGCTGCCTTGCAATACGGAGTGGAAAGTTAGGCTGACATGTTATCCAGGTTGGCAAACATTGTGAATGGCCCAATTGATCACCCGTGCACCATCGTTGCAAGCGACTGGCTTCTAAATTGAGCCTGTGCACAGCACCTTTGATAGAACCAACAGAAAGTGCCTCTTCCAATGTGGATAACCGTCTTTATTGGAGATAGCTGTCCTAGTCAGCGCAGCGGTCTCATGGGCTCATGTCACAGCAACCAGTACCCCAGGCCAGCACTTGGATTTCTCCCTTGACCACCAGCCTGGGACACCCCTGTTGTCTCCGTGCATGTTTCTAACCGCTCAACCTTCCCTCTCAACCCTCCTTGCTCAACAAGCTCTGTCTGAAACTCGTTTCGACACTTTCAAATCCACTAAGTAAGCATCCCCAGGAATCGCTCTAACAGGGAGGGCAGCCCCTGTACCATCGAATGTGTCAGGTGGAAATGCCAGGCAATGCGAACTACCAAGCAGCAGGGCAGCAGCTGCAGGCTGTCCTGCTCGCGCCTGATCTCCCCTGTGCGTCCGGCCTCTTCCTGGAGCTCTGACTCAACGGTTGGAAGCACATTGTTGAAGTAAATGTTGACGGACGGTGAAAGTGTCCGGCTTACATAATGCTCATATGCCGTCTATTCAATCATTTTTTGTTTTTCCCAACGTCCCTAAGACCTGGTTCCATAACAATCCATTCAGAACAAGATTTTGCAAACAGAAACTGATCATATAGTCACAGAATACCGGATTATACGAATTTTACGCAATCGCCAAAACCTACGTCCCAAAACAAAAAGCAAGCACTGGATCATGGATGACATTTAGAGATCAAACCAGAGGGGGACTTGAAGTTGAAGCACTGAATGCATGAGAGCTCAGAGAATCTGAATAGTCTGCAGAGAGCACATGGGAGCAGCCTGAGGAGCTGGAACCATTGGCTGGTCCTTTGCGCAGCCAGACGGTTGGGTTCATGCTCTTCGAAGAAACGAACACACATCAGAAACCATTACCTCTGGGGACGGCACGACCCCTGGTTTGCAGATTGTGGACAAGGAGGAAAGCAAGGTCGGCAGTGCAGTGTTGTCCAGCGGCTCAGCCCCAAAACGCCTAGACAAGGTGCAATTCCACGTCGAGGAACTCAGCCGGTTGCAGCTCGTACTACAAGGAGGATGCCATAGAAAGTTTGTTGTTGCTATGTACTCGTCTGCTTCCAAGTCTCCGCAATTCAACCAATTGAGGCAGTTTTGGCTTTCTAAAAGCTCTTTCAAAAAACCACCAATCAGGCCTTCTCAGGGCGGCACATTTAAGGTAGCGTCCGACAATCTTTTCCATCTCCTGCCTTTGACAGGAGCAAATCTTCTGCAAGAAGGGAGACCATGCTCGGAGGCGAGAAAAGGTAAGTCCTGTGTATATATCTAGTTGGTGGCAAAGGGTTTTCAGTCTTCTGCTGAGAAAGCTTTTCTTTGCTTAGTAAGTAGTGTGAAGACGAGAAACATTTAACTTGGTGGTTTGGCCGCGTCTTTGACCGTGTTGCACAAGAAGCAGACTATGTGAACCTTGTCTTTAAGCATTTGGTACAACAATTCCCTGCTTTTGTATGGCGACTTTGGAGCCTCGTGTCCCTCCTTCAAGGTTGTCTAATTCAAAATGGCGCTTTAATGTATCGTCCAGTGTCTGCTACATCCTTGGTTTTATTTTGAGTGGTGACTCTCCAAGGTGGTGCCTGCTTTGAAGGCAGACTTTACCTACTCTCAGCGTCTGCCAATTGCTCACACAAATGCAAGTTCTGTGGCGGTCTTTCAAGTGACTGCAGTTCGACCTATTAGGCAAAGTCTGCAATTATATTCATTCGTTGGCAATTTTCTTGGCGAAGAGGTTCTGCATTTCAACCGGGTCCATTAATTCCTGACCAGTGGTGGAAGGTTTTATTTGGATTGTCCGTTACTTATTTCCAATCAGGCTTTGGTGCCATTCGAATACCCCATAGTTTGCTCATCTTTGGCGCGAGCTACTCGCTTGTGGTGCAACTCTTTGAAGTATTTAGAGTACAGCAACAGCGCAGACTGTCAAAATAGTCTTTGGAGGGCCACTGGTTTTTACGCGCGCCAACGCAACTCTTTGTGTACATCGTAGGGGCCCTTGCTCATCTGTGTCTGCTTTGCCACTTGGTTCTTCTGCTTCTGTGTACAGAGGAGTCTTGTCCGGAGGAGCTCAATCGTACTTAGCAACCCCAATCATTGTGTGCATTGTTGGGCCCTTGCTCATCTGCGCAGCTCAACCAATTGTTTGTATCTTTTCCTGTTTTACAGAGGAGTGCCAGCCCGGAGGGGCTTAACCGTACTTGGCAAAATTCCAGCGGTGCCAAAGCCTATCAATCTTCCCAGTCAGAGGTGAGTGCTAGACATGCGAGCACGTGATGACCGGCAGCTTTAATTGCCCGTTCTCAGCGATCAGAATTCAGCATCTCGAACGCCTTTTGTACAAGGTTGTTATTGCCCTTTGGAGGTTCGCCGAACGTCCAGACCTCTTAAGAAGCAAAATATCATTGTTGCTGCAAGATTGCTGTTCAAAAGAAGGTGCGCCGTTTTGAGTTTCCATGTGTGGGGCTGTGGTTTATGTGCGTTCTCATTGTTTGCAGGCTTGAAAATCGGGGACTCGATCCCAATGTCGAGATTGTACCCAAGTAAGTACTCTGGATTTGTGTTCTTCTTTTGTGCCTCCAGGCCAAGGTTGACTGTGGCAGGTTTGATTTGACCAAGCAAGAGAAGCAGTTGGTCGCCTTCTGTGATGGAATCTGGACAGCGACTTATCTAGCACTCTGTGTCGCCTATATTTGTATCTGTTAGACAAAACTCAGAGAGAGTACGTGGTCTGGACTTGTTCCATGTGCAAAATCCTGTCAGTTGACTGTCATCGTCCTGATTTTGAACCGTATGTTTCTACACCAGGCATTGAGACCTCACGCGATAATAGATGCTCTCACTTAGACATTCTTCCAGCTTATCGTAATAAGCCTTAACACCGTCGACAGAAAGCAGACTTCTTGAGGACATCGTTCATGGTTTGGTGTTGTTTCAGGGGCTCCTTTGGATGGGCCACCGGACGTTCTCCCCCAACAAGCGCCGGTCCATGGGGCGCTCACGCCCCTCCGCCAGCGGGGCCCTGGGGCGGGCCTGCCCAGCCAACCGCCGCGACGCCTCAGCCGAGCCTTCTGGAAGTTCAGCAACAGCAGTTAGAACAGCAGCAGCAGCAGAAGCAGGTATGTTACACTTCTCCTTTCAGTGGCGCTATGGACACTGAAGAGTTGAGCGATCGGTTGGGGAGTGCTGATTTGGCGCTCTCTTGAGGGAGAAGGATCCTGGTGGGGCGTCTGCCTCATTGCTCTTTTCAATTCTTTTGAAATTGTCAAGACGAAGTCGGAACAAATGCATTCCGGGACAATCACTGCCAAAATGACGCGAAGTCTCTGAACAAGCGAGGTCTAGTCTCGGAGTTTCCTCGGTCCCTCATGATGTGAGTTCTTTGACTTCCCAAATTCGTGAAGTTGCAACACTGGAACTCGCTCCTTGCCTCCTGCAGACCCCTGCACCACCAGGATCAAGCGCATGGGCCAACAAAGGCCCCCCGCCTGGGGACCAGGCACCGGTTCATGAGCCGCGCCCACCTCGTCCTGCAAGTGCTGACGATGCGGGACGTGCTTTGAAGACGAGTCTGAGTACGAAGTCGGCAGACGGGGGACCCCCTGCTCCTGGAACGCCGCCAGTGCCATCGGCATGGGGGCTACAGAAGCCTGCGGTGAGCGTCGCCTGGTGTCAAATGATTGTGTGGTCTCGTTTCTCGAGTGATTGATTGCGCAGCCTGTTGGGAAATTAATTGTCTTAGACCCTGATCGCAAACTAACAGCGTTCTGTCTATCTACAAGGGGCTCTGTTGGGAGGGCCGCTAGCGAGCGAAAATTCAAGAGCGAGTTGGGTCCTGCGGGGTATTGAGTTGCTGTTCACGTCTTAAATTGTTATATTCCCAGATGTATCCTTTTCTATGCTTATCAATTTCTAGATTTGACACATCGATCAAACGGAGCTGAGGAGGGGGCAGCAATTCCGGCTCAAGGGGGCATATGGATCGGGGTATTTTCGTTGATCGGTGAAGGTGATACGGTTCCATGAGCTCAGGACAACCTTTCTTTCTAGTTTCTAGGCTGCAGTCAAAGCTACAAGCATTCGTTCTGGTTTGCAGGGACCTGGTTCCTCTTCGCGCCCCGCGAACGACAAAGACTTTCCGGCTTTCGGAGCAGAGAGGGCGCCTGATGAGCCGCCGCGCTCAGGTCAGTCTTCTTCCTTCTGCAGGATGTCGATCCTTTCACAACGCTTGTCTTGGGAATTCCCCTCTTAAGGAGCAGGGATTCTTTGTAGCAAAGGATTCAATCTTCTCCTATCACGGGCTTCCTATGATTGCATACTCCGAGGTGTCCTGGAACGGGATTCTGCTGCCGTCTTCAAGAGCCGACATCTCATGGTTTGATAAAAGCGTTGCGCCCGTAGTCGTGTAGTTCAGTGTGATCCAGCGCTTGGTGTGGTCTTAGTGGACTTGCAATGAGATTTGGCAATCGCTCAACCATGACAGCCCCTTTCTGCAGGAGGAAGCCACAGGGAGGTGGGAGCACCTGACAGGAGAGGGCACGGTTACCAGGACGGACCTTTTCCGCGAACACCAGGTAAGTCACGATCTCCCATGTGAATTTGTACCGTCATTGTGCGTGTCATGTGCACTCTTTTTGGGTTATGCATCTTGTGGAGCTGAGTTGTTCCATCCGAAGTTTCTGGCAAGTTTTCTGAGTCTTGAGTACTTGGACTGAGTTCCATAGCAAGGCACGCAACAGAAGGGAGAGAGTGATGCAGTGTTTCTTCCGGAGGCTTCTCACAAAGATGTACACTTTGTGAGAAGCTATCTCGTCACTTTCGGACATTTCGTGTGCTCACCATCTAGACGGTGCTCGCAGATGGCTTCCATGGTCAGGGGCACTACGGACCTCCCCCGCCTCGTTCGGCAGACACCTGGCGGCGTGAAGATGATCATCACGGCCCTGCCAGCGCGGACAGCTGGAGAAAGGACGGGCCTCATGGGGGCGACACCTGGCGTCGGGAGGCGGGGCCTGCGCATCCTCATCCAGAAGATAGGTAAGAGGCTGTGTAGCGTGATCAACGTGTCCCATCTGACTCAGCGTTTTAAGCCAGCTCATCTGAACTGTTTCTCAGTGTTTGCCCGATGAAGTATGCGAAAAAGTTGTTAAGCTAATGCGAGGATCGGCTGTTCATTGGAGTAGGAGGTCAAACAGATTTTACCATATCAAGTTCACACCCCAGATCGTAATGCTGAAAGGTATCTTGCTGGAACACGAGGCATGCCATTCAACACTTGCCTTTCCAACTCTGGTGGTCCTCTCTTGAAAGTGATCTGACTTTGAGTGCCATTTTGGAAGTTCCTCCGACGCGATTCACCTTTGCTTGGGTACGAGCATGAGCATCCTCGAAAATCTGGTGTTTTCTGTATGTACAGGTGGCGCAGGGAGGGCCCTCCACCTGGCGGCTTTGCAAATCAGGGCCGCTTCCCTCCTGGGGGGCATTTCCAGCCCCCAGGCCCTGCTGGCTACGGCCGGGGCCACCCCCCCGACCCGTACCAGGTGCACCTGCTTCCTGGTCACCGGCCAGGTTCCGCTGACGGTTTTCAAGGACGGCAGGCTTTCGGGGCCTTCGACGATAGGGGCTTTGCTCCAAGGGGGGGGAATTTCGCCCCTGGCTATGGTCCCCCACCACAAAATATTGATCCCCGGTACTCGCGGGGGCCGCTGCCGGGGCACCGGGGTGAGCCGTTGGACGATCGAGGAATGGGAGAAAGGACTTTCGGGCCGATTGGCCCTCGTGGGGAGCCGAAGGGGGATAGAGCGAGGGGTCCAAATGATGGGCATGACGATGTGCCCGCAAAAGACCCTGTTTCGAAGGAAGATGCTCACGACCAGCAGTCCAAGAAGCCGCGCACGGGGCAAGCGGGGCCTGGTGGCGAAGGGGCGGCTGCTCCAACGACCCCCCGTTCGCATGGGGCGAAGGAGGGGCACATCGACTGGGCCTCCGAGAGCCTGGATGATGCGATGGACTTCTCTGAGCCCCCCCCGGTGTTCGGAGATGCAACTGTAGACGAGCCTCCAAAGCCGCCTTTTGCAGCCGAGGGGTCCGAGGGCCTTCCTGAAGTTGACAGGCCGGGCCTGCCAATGCCTCCCCACGAAAGAGAGCGGAGCTTCGGGGAGAGGGATTCCCCCGGTTTCGGCGGACCTTCTGTAGGCCGCGATCATCCCGGTTTTGGGGGCCGCGAGCCAATGGGCTTTCAGCAGAGGAGGGACTACCCCCCAGGTCCGGGTTTCATGGGCCCGCATCCCGGTCGGGGGGTGGGTCGGGGTTTCCCTGGTCCCCCCGGTCCGATGATGCGCCCGCCCATGCAGTTTCCTGGCATGCACCCCGGTTTCGTAGGGCGTCCTGCGCACGTGGGGCATGATCCAGCGATGCACATGATGAGGCCGCCAGCCCCCCCTTTTGAAGCCCCGCATCCGCGACCGCACCCAAGGCCCCACAAGGTGGTCGAGGTGCCCGCTCACGCACCTCCCGAAAATTTCCGGCTCCTGAAACGGACTGAGGAGCAGTCGAAGCCGTCTGAAGAGGGGGAGGCGTCTAAAAGCCCTCACGGGGGGCTCCAACCTGTCGTTGGGGAAACGTTGGAGAAGAAAGCTGGACCGGATGTTGTGGGTTCAAAGGGGCCAAGTGGAAATGGAGCGGCGGGGACAGCTTCTCCGAAGGCATCGCCGGGGCTGCCAGTCAAGGAGGCGCCTTCGGCGGAGCAGATGAGCGAGCTCGACTTCGATGCTCAGGTATCGGCTTCAGCCTTCGAGAATGGTCGTTTGGTTGTTGGCATGGTCTGGAATTACAGAGGTCTTCTTATTGCGTCCTTGGGCTTAATGGGGATTGTCACTGCCGGGCACCTTTTCTGATACGCTAGTAGTACCGTCGTGTATTCATCATCTTGTTCGACGGCTGAAGAGAGTAAGAGAGAGGAGGACACTGGAAGCATCACATTCAATATGTCAAACAACCGAAGAGAATTGCCATCAGCAGTAAAACAGAAGATTGACGTTTGGCGAACTGCGCCTCCAAGGCTCACCTCAGCGTTTCGGGTGGCAACACCCTTTCAATACTGCTGGACGAGCAGCAGAAACTGCGATCATTGGATCCTTCTTGCCCCTTGAAGAGCAGGAAAGTATTGTTGGGCTTTCCTTGTTAGCTTGCCTCTTTGGCAGCGGCCCGAAGCGCGCCAAGCTTCTACTTCGATACCCTGCCCTGTCTGATTCGTCGTGTTCTCTGTTTCTCTTGGCAGCGGCGGAAGCTGCGCGAGGAGTCACTCGAGAAGGCCCGCAAGCTGGAGCTCGAGTACAAGCAACGGGACCAGCAGATCCTCCTCGCCAAAGCACAGGCGCAGCAGCTGTCTCATCCGCCAAACCAAGACTGGACGAGAGCTCTGCCTGCGGGTGTCTCCCCACCTGACGCACCTGTAGAGTCGGTGGGAGATCTCCCCTCGGGGGGCCCGAGCGACAGGTGGATCCGTGGGGGCGGAAGAGTGGGAGGGGGAAGAGGTCGTGGGGAGAGAGACGGGGGAAGAAGAGGGGGCCACCAGGGGCGGCCTGAAAGCGGCGGGGACGGGGAGAAAACCTTGTCAGGGGGACAGCATGTGAGCGTGGAGCATGGGCTGACTGGGCCGCCTCAGGTCAGTCTAGAGGGTTCAATGCGCCATGCGGACTGCGGGTTGAGCTGAACCTGGTCATAATCTGATCAAGAACGGTCGACTCGCTGAGATGATATCTTTGATTGTTTGACTGGTTGCATTTGAGGTGGCAACGGGAAGAAGCCTCAGCAGTACGGCCTTAATCTGACTGTACTTAACGCTGGTGCAAAGTCGGCCAGCACATCTGGCTTCCTTGCAAAGCATTCCAGGATCGTCTGGGGTGGTTGTGGGGGCTGATCTTAGCCATACGACTCAGGACTCTTTCTGTGTTTCTCCCAGAAACATTCAGAAACATTCAGAAGCATTCTCCTCGGTTGACGATGTCAGTAGTATAATAGGAGCGCTTTTTCTTGAGCATGAAATAATCACAGCCAATGGACAATTTTCATCATCTGCTCACTTCCAGGTACTGGAGTTGAGCGCTCAGCACCAAGCCGGTGCGAGTCGCGGACGTGGTCGGGGGCCCGCCCGGGGCCGCGGCGACTCTGGCAGGGGCAGCAGCAGTCGGGCAGACTCCTCCTCTTCCTCCCGCGACGAGCATCAGAGCCAGGGGGGTAGTTTCGCCCACCTTTCGCAGGCCCCCGTGGGAGAGGTTCGCCGGATTGAGGTCGGGCCGCAGCCTTTTGGGGAGGCGCAGCTTGACTTGGACATCAATGAACCGACTCCGCATCTGCAACCGTCCGCAACGGCGGAGCCGAGGGGAGTTGGTGGTCCTGCGCCGGTGGACGATGAGAATAGGCACGGGGGCAAGGGGCCCGGTCGGAACCAGCGGCCTGAGAGGGCCAATTCACACCAGCGGGCGCAGCATCAGAAGCGTCCCTCGGATCCACAAGAAGCTCCCAAGGCAGTAGAGGTAGTTAGCCACCAGCCGTCTCCAAGGGGTGTTAATATGCCCCCCGTCAGCCCACAAGACCAGCCGCCACTCTTAGCGTTGCCCGTTCACACCCCCTCTCAGAAGGGGATCCTGCCGGACCCGCGCCAAGTCCCTCGGTCGCCCGTCCAATCTGGGCCGCCTCACTTTGATGTGAAACCCTCCGGAGTTTTTGAGCAGCCACACCCGAATCCCTCTTCCGCTCGTAACCGGCAGCCTCGACAAGCCCCGAAGCTGGCGGATCTGCCCGCCGCCTCCTCCCAGGGGGTCGAACAAGGCCTAAACGCCCCCCCCCCGGAGCAGCACAGGCCGGTGTCCTCTCAGGACGCCCGGAAAGGCGCGGGCGGTCACGTCGAGCAGTCACGAAAGTCCCCCCGGATGCCTCCCGGCGAAGTGAATGTGCCGCCTCAAAGTCATGGCCAGCAAATTCAGCAAGGACGGGGAGGGGCGCAGCTGCCTGGTGCGCATGGCCCTGTGCGTATGGAGGGCCAGCAAAGGACCCCGGAAACGGGTCACGTGGCGACTGGCTGGGGGGAGATCCCAGTGCAGGGCCCCTCTGGTTGGATGCACCCCCCTGAGATGGCGTCCGAACGGCCATCTGACCAGGTAGCAAGGCACCCGAACCCTCAGCCCCAACACTTCCCGAACCATCCCCAGTTGCAGGCGCGACAACCCCACCCCAACTTTGCTCCAAACGCGCATCCCCCCCAAGGGGCGGGGTGGGTGGTTCCGACTTCGACACAGCCACGAGAAGGCCGGAATGAAATTAGGGGTGGGGAGAGACAGATGGCCGGTCCTCCAGGGGCGCACGTTCCAACCGGTTGGCCCGATCAGCCGCGGCCTCACCTTATCGCCGCCGACCTTAACCCTCACCTTAACCAGCCCCGTGGACCCATCCCGCAGGGGGGGTACAATCCCATGGGTCTCAGGCCCCCGGCCGGGGGCTTCGCTGTTCCGATGGGGCCCCCGCAGCAGCAAATGGGACCCCCCCCGAACGCGCAGTTCCACCACGACAACCGACCGGTCAGCGAGGACGGTCAGCGGACGCCCAGGGGGCATTCACACCAGAGGGGCCATGGGCAGAGAGGAAATGCGCACCCAGGTGAGGTCGGGCCTGAAGCGAGGCTGCCTCACGGAGGTGGGCCGGGAGCGACGGGTTGGGGGGTTCAGCCCGAGATGTGGCTGCCGGGGCCACCGCAAAACCAGGGGGGTAAACCGACGGGCTGGGATGTGCCCCCCGCTGAAGGCGGAGTCCAGGGGCCCAGGCCGGAAGGCCTTGTTAGACCGGAGGCCGGTCGGCCGCAAGTGGGCGTTCAGGACGCGCGGAAGCTGGAACAGGGCCCTGAGAGAAGCGCGGACGGGCAGGGAGAGGGTGGGGCGAGGAAGAAGCGGGACGGGAGGCGAGAGGGCAGGGGGTCGAGGAAGGGCCGGGGCAGTGGCAAGTCGGAGAACTCAGAAAACGTGGAAGATGCGGCAGGTGGGTTGCTTCCTCTTCAAGCTCCGCAAACAGCACACTGCACCCTTTTGGCTAGAGAACAAGACCGCGTAACGACCTCTGTACGGCTCCGTTGTGGGCTGGGGGTCGCCGAGCTATCCGCTTTTCAGCTCCTCTTTTTCAGAACACGCTCAATCAGTCCGCTCACTTCACTGACCATGGATCATGCCATTGGATGAAGGAACGTTCCTGCTTGTGAGATAAGCCTTGATCTCGAACATGAACAGGATACTGGCGTCCATTCAAGAAGGCGTCGCAACGTGCAGTCAAGAAGGCTTCACAATGAGCAAGTAGTAATATATGAACTCACAGAATCTTGCTTCATTTCCTACAGGCGATAGCCCCCCAGAGTTCGGGCCTGACGGCGCCCACATCCGGCGTCGGACCCACCCCACGCAAAGAGGTGCTCGGGGGCGGAGCGGCCGTGGGGGGGACAAGAACAGGGAAGGCGCGCCTGCTTCTCCACCCCCTGGGACGGAGAACCGCGGTCCAAGACCCGAGGGAGTACGACTACCCCCCACAGATGAGCAGCAAAACCGACCCCCCCAAGCAGAGCTGCGAAAAGCAGCCCCCCAGGGAGAGCAGCGGATTGCACCCCCCCAGGGTGAGCAGCAAAAACCACCCCCGCAGACCAAGCAGCAAGGCGTTCCCCAAGCGCAGCAGCCGAGACCCCCCCAGAAGGAGCAGCAGCCTCGGCCCCCCTCTGGACAGCAGCCAAGCGGACACCCCCGGAACGATCAGCAAGCGCCACCCCCCTAAAAGAGCAGCAGCAACGGCCCCCCCAGCAGCAAAGAGCCCCGCAGCCGAAACCGCAGCCGAAACCCGCCCAAAAGGAGCAGCAGCCGCGGCCGGCGGTGCAGAACCAAGAAGGGGGGGGGCCGAAAGCAGAGGGCGAGAGGGGTCCGGCACCCCCCCAGAGAGGACGGGAGCGGAAGATGCGGCCAGTGCCAGCTGAAGTGGCAACCAAAGCGTCTGGAGCAGAGTCCGGGGGGCACGGGGGAGCGAGCAGCGAGGGTCCGATGAAGAACGGTGGAGGGGCAGGGACAGGTAACCAGGCGAGAGCTCGCACGCCGAAACCGGATGCGCAGACTTCTAGAGGGCCTGCCCAGCGGGGGCCGCAGGAAGGGCAGCCTAAAGCTCCTCAAGGAAGCGTTGCTCCGGCGGCGACGACGGTTGGCGAGAAGAATGTGAGCAGCGAGGTCAACGCTAACCCGGAGGTCAACGCTAACAAGCCGAGGAAACCGGAGTTGGCTCGTTTTCGACCAAAAGGAGCCTCCACCGAAGGTGGGAGCCAACCTGCGGAGCAGCACGAGAGCGGGGGGGTCGCAAACGCCCCGAAACCTGTCCCCCCGGCTGATCGGCGGAAGGGACCCAACCGAGGAAACGCTGTAGCTGCGGCCGCGGCGTGGAAGGAGATCCAGACCGGGGGTCCGGAAACGGCTAAGCTTCCCGCCAGCGAGGCCCGGCAGGAGGCGACCGCTAGAGCTTCCCAGGGGCATGGTTGGGAGATGCCGCCGCAGCAGGGGGGGAACTCGCAGCCCAGACCGCAGGGGCCAGCGCACCCCCTCGGGCAGCATCCTGGGGGCGTGATTGGGCCTCATGCGGAAGGTGGGGGGAGGGGAGCGCGTGGAAGAGCGGTGAGGGGAGGGGGGTTCCGGGGCGGAAGAGGCAGAGGGTTTGACGGATCGGAACACAGAGAGGAGCATGGGCCGAGGACTGTGGTCAAAGCGGGTTTGCAAGGTGAGGGATTGGCCCGTTGCAGGAGGGACTGGCCGGCTCTTGGGTTTCAAGGGTTGAACTTCGTTTGCGAAAGCGCTTACGAACTCTTTATCCAGTGCGTTCAGAAGGCTTAGAGCTACTGTCAAGTCAGCCTGTCTGGAGGATAAGATACAGGGAAAAGGGGCGCACTCCATTTGGCTCTTTGTGAGCAACGTAGGGAGTTGCGTATTAAGCGCTGATATTGCTATGCAAGTTCTTGGAGACGGCAGCGTCTCTCGGTCTGCATCTGACATGTACTGATGATTCTATCTTGCTGCCTCCAGTGGATCCTGTTCTGTCCGCCTTTGCTGAGAGATGAGCTGCGCTTGCGTGTCCCCTTCGTGGCCTAGGCTCCGAATGACCCGCTCTTACCGGAACAAGAAATCAGTGAGGAAACGGCTCTGTTGACGGCTGTATTCTATCTGCTGCAGGCAAGGACGTTATAGTCGCCTCTCAGGGCCACAATCGCCCGATGGGGCCGTCTTCCGGCTCTAGTTCCAACCCTCCGAGGCAAGTTGTAGGCCCTGGCATATCTGCTGTCGTCTAGTCGTAGACCTCTACAGTCGTACAACTAGACTGGAGGGATCGGGGCAGATGATGACGTGGGTTTTGCTGGAGCAGTCGTAATGGGCTGTCCAAATCTGATGGGGTCAGTCTGGCCCTCAGTTAGGTTGCTCCGCGAGCAAGTAGCCTCAGTTTCATAAGACTAGCGCAAGCCACAGTTGAGTCTTAGGTTAGCAGGCTCCTGGCACAGCTTCAGCCTTGGCCGGCTAGGAACATGTTACTGACACGTATGTTGCAAACTGTACGCTGGTTTTGCACTTTCATTATGCTCATTGCCGGCCTGAACATCAACTGAGTGACCTAATTGCCTTGCGCTCGTTGATTCTGGATGATTGAGTGCTTCTCTTTCTGATGATGGTGCCGAATCGCTAAAATGGACTCTTTTCCTTGCCGTGTGCGGCCCCCTGTTATTCAATGCGCTGCGCTAGTTTCATGATAAGCAAAGATTGGGAACATCCTGCTGCCTGATCGAGCAAGACTGACAAGCGTAATAATGGATCAATGCTTTCTTCAGACTTTGCGCTTTTGATTGGCAGATGGAACTTGTTGTCTGAAGCCTGGTGTCTGAGTTGCTTTTGTGGGGACGGTGGTAGTTTCGCATGTTGCACAACGTGCATGAGTTGTACTTAACTTGCATGATTGGTGTGCTTGACTTAAAATCGGAGTCAATCACTGCTGGCATGAGAAGATCGACATGTGGCTGTACGTGACGAGGACCAGCCTTCGGCAGATAAGCCGAAGGCGTTTCATGATCAACGGCTCTGATGCTTGATGATGATCGAAGCAGGATTGTTAAGTCAGTCAGAAGGTGCTTTCCATCGGCGGGAGTGTGTTAAGTTGCACGTGGATCGGTCCTCCTGCTTGTGGTCTTGCAATTTTGGTCTATGGGAGATTTCGCATTGCAGCGGCGAACTTTGGACAACCATAGTACTATACATCAGCATCCGTGCTGCCAATCATACCGTCGGCTCGATGATGGAGGATCGAATTGGCCTTGCGCCCACATGTTCGGCGCGCTACAACGTATTGCCGCGATCTGTCTGCAATTCAATTGCTGATTTTAGATCAAGCGATTGGCGTGCAAGCGTTTAAAAATTCCTGGAAGCCTTGTGCGCTATCTTCTTAGCTGCTGACAGTCTGATACATACTGGCAAAGTTAGTATTAGCCCTTCGCTTGGATTCTTTCGTTGATTTATGGAGCACTCTTATCAATGTCCATTGAGAAGGTTTCAAAGCGCGGAAGCCAGGATGTACTGAAGAGAAGATCTTTTTGCTACTTCAGTCCAGTTTCCTCAAGGGAGCAAAGAGCCACTTTTAGGGCTGTTGCCCCCTGCTTCTCCCCCCAAATGGGATTGGGGTGGCTCTTCACTCCACCCTTTCGAAGAATAATGGCCCTGCACGGACCGAAGGCTCTGCCGTACAAAACACACAAGTTTTTTTATCTTCGCTCGAAATCTCTTGTTTGCGCCCCTTGCTACTGTACCGACCTTGTTGTTCCTTGCTCGGAAGCGCGCGAGGTTGCTAGCGAAAAAGTGCCGCACGAATCATTGGTCAGACGAGGGGCTGGTTCATATCTATGATACTCGTACATGCTTCCGAAGTCCACATTTTGGTGGGTGACTCGTTCACTGATGCGCTAAAACATCGCTGCCATTCAGTTGATTACCTCAGATTGAGCAGATTGAACCATGGTTAATGCAGAAATTGCGGTCGGGCGCTAAGTTCCATGCAGGTTCTGAGACGGGCAACTGCCATGCAACTCCGCTTCTACCTACTAAAGCTCCAGCTGTAAGGTTCCCGTCAACTTGCAACTGAAATCAGGAGCGGTGTTTCAGCATGGTTCCGTCCTAACCAGCCGCACTTGGAAAAATACGGGTCACGGCTTTTAGTGGTTAAGGTTGTATATTTTATGGATGCGACGTCAACGTCCGTTGAGCTTACTTCGTTTCCGGTCAGAGTTTGCTGAGTCCTTAGGAACCGGTCAGAACCCCTTCCGTTGAGCGGAGAGTCTATGCGCTCCGCTGCTGTTGCTCGTTGGCAATTTTGACTCTGCTGCTTCGGACTGGAAGCGTTGCTCTGATTGCTTTGGTGCTAGTAATGGTGAGTGACAGTTCTGATTAGGGCGCACAATCCGCCTGTTGAATCACTCCGATTCTCGAAGCTCCCGTGCCGTTAAAATGCCATACTCAGGCAACGACAGTGTGCTGATAAAAGTGCAGTCTCTTTGCTCCGCGTCAGAGTCCAGGCTTTCTTCCCTGTTCCAGCAGTGACGAGCTGAACGGATCTGGCCGAAAGGCCAACAATTTGTTTGACACCACGGCCGATGCTGTTTCCAAGCAAGCGACTTCACACCCCTGTGCCTCACTTTGAAGACCGGCCAGAATTTGGCTGGCGTCCGCCACGTAACAGAATAGGTGGCCCTATTTGTCTCTCTACCGTAGTGGAGACCAAGCTTACAAGGTACAAAGCCTTGGGGGCGCGGATCGATCTTGAGAAGGACCCAGTCAATCTCTCTCGACGGCTTATTGATTGATGGGCGCTAACGCCTTTCTCTTTTTTGTTTTCATATTCTGAATCGCGCGAAAAAAGCCAAACCTTTATACGGCTCTTGTGATTCGGCCATCAAGCTTTTCCCGGCTCCTTGCGCTCCGTCATTTGTATTTTGTTCAAATTTTTCGACATGCTCGTTTATTACAAGCCTGGCCGACTACAAGTTCGGGCTCCAAAGTGCTGGCCGAGGTCAACCAATCTGCTCATCACATTCAGTGCGGCAGCATCGGTTAAGTGGGCGTCCTGACTGTAACGCCTGACGTCAGAAAGCGACACGAAGGTGGAGTGCTCAGGCATATCGTCGCCGCGATACACGTCGAGAGAACTTGTCGCGGCGACTGCAAAGCAGATCTGGCACTAACCGTGTCGCTCAGTGTTTCGCGGCGCCCTGACGCCCTCTTT